GGGAGAGATCAATAACGAGAATGAGAATGAGACGAAAGAATGAGAATCAGTGCAAAATCCTAGGTAGGTGACAGGTGCTTCGATACTTGAAGCATGGATGAGAGGGTTACTGTATCTTCTACTGTAGGTGAGCAGTAGTACATATCCAGGGCTCCTGCCAAGCATGGTCGGTTGATGTGCTCTCCTTGTGTTTTGCACTTGACCTTCTCCCAGGTACTGTACTGCTTTTCATCCAAGGTCAATGACTTCTGAGATTGGGTATCTACGCTTGTAGTATGGTTGCGCGTCAATATCAATGTAAATGTCAATATCATGATCAAGGCCAAGAGCAAGATCTGCCACTGGGCAAGAGGAGGGTCTATTCCGAATCATCGTCGACTATGCGTCGCTGCTTCCTAGGCGCTGGTCTCCTCACCTCAGTGTCGTCTTCGGCCTCTGCGTCGTCATCTTCGTCATTTCGTGAGCGTTTGGGTGTCCTTTCCCGATCCCGTGCTCCGCCCCTTGTGCGATTCTCCACGACCGTCTGCCGCCCTTCGATTTCCAGGTCGTCGTTATCAGGATCATCTTCCTCTTCTGCTTCGGGTTCCTCTGCGCCGTCGTCCTCGTAGACCTCGGGCTCTTCATCGCTGTCGGCCACGAAGTCGTCTTCGCGGTCGTATTCGTCTTCTCGTCCGCGGCGACGGTATGCCTCGTCGTCTTCGTCTTCGTCGGAGAGAATATCTCCTCGTCGGTTTGACTTGCGTCGTGGGTGTTTCGCCTTGACGCCGCGCGCAGTGGGCATGTCGTCTTCCAGGCCTCCGATCGTGAGACCCGCTGATCGTCCGAGACCAGAACGTCCGAGGACCTTGTCCCGGCGCGTGAATTGTCTCTCCGCAGCGGCCTCTCTCTTACGTGCAGACCGGGCAACATCCTTCTCGGCTTGCTCTGCCTTCTTTCTCGCGAGCTCAGGATCGACTTTCACGGACTTGAAGGATGAGGGGACGTCGTTGAGCTCTGCCTTGGCGGCAATGGATTGGCGCAGCTTGAGTTCTGCGGCGTCGGCTATGTCGCCTGTTGGTTGGATCTTCATGCTCGCGTCGAAAGGAGCCACGATCTGGAGGTCCATGCCTATCGTCTGGTGGGGTGCTCCTAGGTAGTTGTTTGATTCTCTGGCTGGGTCGTAGTGTTCTTGGTGGGTGGTCTTTCTGGGCCATCCCGGACGCATGGCGGTTGTGGAGATGCGATAGTGCTCGGTGGGTTTGGATGCGATCTGCAGGGTGAAGCTGCCATCTGACCAGCGGATTATGCGGCCATTGGATTGTATGTTATCGGGATTTTGAGGGTCTCGCCGCCAGAAAAGCGAGGTGTTTGCAGTAGAGAAGGCGGAAAATTTGGCATCGCTGCCGTCATGGGGTTTCGTGGGTGGCTCATAGGTCGCGTAGTCGAAGTTTCTATGTTTGATGCCGAGAAATTCGGGGATATTGACAAGGAAGAGCTCGTCACCTTCAGGGGGTTTGATCCGCGCGACGTCCACGTCGAGGAGCTTGAGTTGTTTCTGTTCTTCGTAGATCGCCTCTTCGTCTTCGACTGTGGCCGCAACGCGGTCGTTTCGACCTTCATCGTCGCCCGAGTCCAGCTCCGTGTCGTCTAATCTTCTCTGGAGGCTGCCAAAGTTAGCTGAGGGCTCAACAGCCGTGGAGAGTATGCCGTACTTATCCTGCGCCTCGTCCTCATCGTCTCCGAAGAGGTCTCCACCGTCGTCTGAGGCTCCCTCCCCATTAAGATCTGGAACACTGTCCTCTTCCAGGGAAGGATTCACCGCGGACTCGACTTCGGCCGACATGTTGAGCACCAAGGGTTCCGTGAAAGGGGCGCAGAATGATCTTGTGGTGTCCCATGCGCAAAAGGCGATACTTAAGATTTGGAGAAGTAGCAGATGTCAATGCCAAATAGCGTTAGCGTCATCCGGCTAAGTTGCGATATAGGGAGAATCAATGCATACTCCTCCCTCACCGTCGACAAGATGAAACTGAGACTCCTTTCTCACAACAATCACCACGTCGACGACCAGCAACTGTGCTGTGACTAATTGTGTGAACTGCGCGACCCTCTGTGGTCAGTCTCGGCGTCATGGCGACGTTTTTTCAAAGCGTGTACGTTCCCCTCGCAGTCTTCAACTTCTCCGACATCTCAGTCTGCTTTCACTTGTGCCACCAACTCATTCCGTCTTCGCACTGTCTCTCTCTCACGAGCACGCAAAGATGCCCAACAGATTCAGATTCAAGATCCCCCTTAGATCCCTCAGACGACCCATCTCCCCTACTAAGCGTGCTGCTGTGGCTGACCCAGATCCCAGTCGCCAGGGTTTCACCCGCGCCAACACAAAGTCCAATCAGAACCTCAAGGCTCAGTACAACAATGGGCAGGCCCCGTCACCAGTCTCTCAGCAGGCTCCTCCTCTTCCTCATATGACAAACTCTCCCTCCATCCCCTCCACCTTCAGCGAGCAGAACACCTACGTGGAGCAACCTAAGAAGTTCTTGGATGAGAGATACGCAAAGTGCTCAGTCAAGGGTAACTTCCTCACTTTGGCGGCACAACCGAAGAATGTCGAACTCGGTGAATGGCTGGCACATCAATGTGAGTTCAACCAGGTTACATACGTATCTGGTGACCGAAGACTGATCCGAGCCAGTGGTCGAGATGAACCGACTCCTCACCGGCATGATCCAGGTTATTCAAGAGGTTGACACCAATGTTGGGCTCTCTCTCTGCAATGAGCAGCAATGTCCCACCATGTCGGCTGGACGGTGCGCCACCCTGTTTCCAAGAGATTTACCCCTAGCTGACACCTGTGTAGCCTGACTTACACCTGGCTCGAGAACGGACGCCCAGCTAAGATCCCTGCGCCCCAGTACATCGTCCGAGTTCAACGCTGGATCGTGGGCAAGATTCACGACGAGAAGACCTTCCCAACCTCTCCTCCGGTCCCGATCGACCACACGTACCTCTCAGGCGACATTGGCACACCAGGTCCGGCTACTCAGGTTGGCGTGATTGCTGCACCTCCCACCAACCTCAATCAACCTTTGGCTGCGCTCTCTGGTGCTCAAGATGACTGGGTTGGCAAATCTTCGGGATTTCCTCAACACTACCATGCGGACGTCAAGGCGATTATCAAGCAGATGTTCCGATGCTATGCCCATCTCTACCACAACCACTTCACCGATCCATTCTGGCACCTCGGTCGCTCTACTGAGCTGAACAGCTGCTTCGTCCATTTCTGCACCGTCGCCATGTACTACGACCTCATCAGTAAGAAGGACATGGAACCATTGCAGGACTTGATCGACATCTTTGTGCGACAAGGCGTCATCCCCAAGGAGGCAGTTCAGCAACACGTGTCCTAGAGATAACTGTTGGTCGACAACAATCGCTTGAGATGGCCGTGACGGTAATGATGATTGTGACACGCATAGCGAGACTGGCGTTCGGCGCAGGCAACGAGACGAAGACTGCACCTGAGAGTGCTTCATGAGCTTTGAGTGAATGAGAACCGAGAATTTGCTTGGGCAAGCCCTGAGCTACCCGTGACCATGTTCTTTTCACCTGCCACGCGCTTCACAATGCTCTTTCTCTTGTACCACTAGCTCTGAAACCTTGACTGGTTGTTTCCGGTTTACTGATTGACCGCGGTAGGTGTCTCAACCGTTGACTTCTCAGGAGAGAAAGCCACGATTCGTTAGTGGGGCGTGACCTCGTCTGCAGGATGCATGACTGAACTGTTGCAGGGCTTCAACTCTTCGTTCGCTAGGGGGCCAGAGGCTGCACGGTGGACACGGGGTTTAGCGACTCCTTTTGGCGATGTGGCAGACAGAACTGTAGAAGTGGCAGGCTTGCTTGAGTAGGAATCTGCCCTTCCGCTCTCGTATCGATATCTTGTCAATCTACGTACGGAGTACCACCTCAGACCCTTCACCCTGCCCAATGGGACCACTGGCACATATGCACTCATACACCCTGCGGCTTTCCATCCCATTATAGATTGTCAGGGAAGGTGCCTACGGAACCAAGTCATCATGCTGGTCACAATACCGGACGATACGAAGAATCCCTTCTAGTAGAAATACATACACCGGCCGAACGGCTAGGTCTCTTCCGTCGAGCATTGCCTTTGATGGCTTTTCGAACATAGCGGTCATTTTGCACAAAGGAATAAGTCTCGCGGAGGCCGAGCGAGAAGTAGACTGTATGCGCAACATTCAAGAACCAACGCAGGAGATGAAGACTCTTAAGGGGGGCTTCTTTCGGGGGAAAGGTTATATTGATTGTCAGCGCGGGCGATTCCCAGACGCATACGGAGTACGCATACGCATACACTTCTTTCCTTTACCTATTTCTTATCGTCGGCGTCGTCTCCTCCTACGAGGATGACCACTCCACTGTTGATCGTCGACTTACCTTGCCTTTCGACTCGCCAGGAGTCATCAAAATCACCAGGTAGATAAGTAGCGGTAGCTAGCTGTAGGCAGGAGGCTCCTCACTCACAGCCAACTACGGTAATGTACCGAGTTTGATTCTCGTGTATGTTTCTTTGTTTGATCATCATCATCTTCTCCTATCGCTTCACTTTAAATGGCGCGCCTGATCTCCGAGACTGGGTCCGGGTCCGGGTCCAGGTCCTCGGTCCTCTCTCAAGAGAAGCAAGACTCGCAGGGATCGTGGCCTTCGCCGCAGTCTGGACAAGTCGGCCAGCCGGGCTCCTTGCCAAGAAATTCGGTGTGCATCTTCACGGGCTGTTCGAGGAAATCTCGAACTGTAGCTATGGTTGTGGTGGTGGCTGTGATGTCATGGATTGCTTGTAATGATGAAGGTGCGCTTCCTTGGCTGTGGTTTCTGTGGTTGCCGATGGAGTTGTCACCGACGGTGATGATGGTGATAATGATGATGATGATGGCCAAGTCACGGAAGACGTGTAGAGAGCACAAGCTTTATCCATCCAGTCCCTTGCGGCTGAGTGGAATGCCATTGAAGGATAGTCTGGAGCGGTTGCAAGAGCATGAATGAATGGTATGTTTGTGTTGAGTAAAGGAAAGCGTAAGGGTGGACAATGCGGATTGTTGCGGGACAGGGCACGCCTTGTTCAACTTTGAATACGACACAATCTCGACCTGCAGTGGCAAAGGGAAAAGGACTGTTCAGAAGTTTCTTTATCCAAGTGGAAATGCACCCTTGGCTACTTGCACAAAGGGTGTGATGGAGTCCGCTACCGGCGGCGCGGACTGGTACAGGTGTGGTGGTAGATCGGCAAAATGCAACACAAGGTGTCTTCACACTGGTTGCTCGGTGGAGCTGCAGAGAGCAGATGATCTGGGCCTAGGACCAAGATATACTATCCAGTGTTCTCGAATGGTCGTCGTTCATATGTCGCGTCAGACTTCGGCTCGAGGGAGCGTTGTGTCTTTTGCCGGCTCCCCTCGAGTACTGAGGACGATACGACCGCAAGCCTCTGAACCGCCGACCAACCGTGGGCAACAGGCTGGGCGGAGGTGTGCAGTTCCTGGACAATTCTGGGCAATTGATATGAGATGCTTGCTCTGCAGGTGATATTCGTACCCTGCCAGAGTACCCCTGTGCGCGGACACATTGCAGTGAATCCGTGCAGGTGGCTGCCAGCGGCATCCTTGCGCCGGGGCTGAATCGTTTAATCTGGCTTGAAATGCCCTTGGCATGGGCAACGAGTATTAGCAGACACTCACGAACACATACTTGGACCAAGGAGTGCCAGTCGATGTGCGCAGTGGTAGGTGTGGTGCGACCTGCTGGATATAGTCGACCAGGTGCAGGTTCCCAACACACTTTTGCCCCTATGTCCAGGCCATCTCGGTCACCCATGCTTTTCAGCGTAGGTATTGTCCAAAGCATTCTTCGCCTTTTAGAACGTCCACCTCGTTCTTCATCACAGCAACCATGACCTCGGCAGAGCCATCACGCAACTTCGGAAGGATACAAGTGGAGCCTTCGTCACCGGGATATCGAAACCGCGTCACGCAACCAAAGGCCTTGCCCCAGTCGTGCTCATACAGGCTGGAGCTTGTCCAGTCCGTGCCCATCGGCACGCCCGTAGAAGTGTAACTGCCTAAGAACGCCCAGTCGACCCATTCTTGATTCGTGCGAGCCATCAGGCTGCGTACCTTTTCCGGCGTCACGGCGTTGATGGTGGAGCGGATGGCACTGGCTGCTTCTTGCAGTCCGGTGGGGGATAGTATGTCTCCCAGGGCAAGTGAAGCGGAGAGTTGATAGACGGCATTGCCGATATATGAGTCGGGGATGTGGAGGTGCCGGCGTGCGTCCGAGGGCATGAATAGCTTGACTTGGGTGCTGGGAGGTATACTCTGTGCTGAGGCGGAGCGCCTGCTCCGGATGAGAATGGCACTGCGCCAGATCAGAGCGGCTATTGCGTCGTGTGTCGATATCGGGGTCGCTCGAGGCTGTTGAGCGTCGGCTTTGAGTTGTGCAACGCGAGATGCCGGAAGGTGTAGTAACACCGATACCTCAGCCGAACCAGCCGCGAAGGGATGGAATGGAGGTTGGATTGGTGCACTAGCTATGTACCCGGGGTGGTCTTCTATCCGGAAGGGAACGTCGCTTGTGATGTTGCGCATTACGCTCCGATCGAGGCCGGCGGGGGACGCCGGCGCAGCTTTTGTGGAGGTGTCTTCGTCGGAGTGGTTCTGAGTGAGATGCGTCTCTTCTGCCAGAATGCGCATCAGCTCATTGTTCCCACTGCCATCTGCGACAGAATGTGACATCGCCCATGTCAATATCGAACCGCCTTCAATGACCGTGAACTGCAATTTGCACGCGGCGAAGAGTCGATCGTTCCCGATGTCTTGAGGGACGGGCACAAGAAGATTATAAGGGAGCTTGTCGACTGGGAAGCCTTCTGTCTCAAGCTCCCCAAATGAGGGCAGAGCGTGCCGGAGGTCCTTCACGATGAGCTCCATGCCATCACCAGGAAGGATGGTACGCCAGTTCGGGTCCACGTCTTCGCCCTCCTCGAGTGTCAAGGGAGCGACAATACCACCTAGCAGCGGGCATCGTTGCACAAGTTCCCTCAAAGCAGTCTTCAAGGCGCTGAGCTGTGCATCAGGCTGAGCAGGAGACGCACAACGAAAGATAAGCAGACGTCGGCTGTAGTGGATAGGGTGTATCGCGTCAATGGCTGCCAAGTCCACGCGGAACGGGGGACCTGGGAAGACGATTCTTTCGTCGTTTACCATTTTGGCTTACATTTGACACCACGATGCATGGACACATGGGGTCGACGTCGGCGAGGCAAAGCCATGGAGGCCACATACAAAGGACCGAGAGGACTCATCGGTTCAGCGATGTTCCTATCCGAAATACCAACTAGGCTTAGCTCAATATTCGTTTTTGCTTTTTTGATACCTGGAAATTCCCACGTCCTGTCCTGCGTCCAGAGCACTAGGTCACATCTCCTGTATGTCTTGTTTGAAGACTGTGGCAGGGGTGGCTTGGTTGTGGGTGACCATCAAAGTGCGTCTTACCAAGGGCTATCACTCTAATTATGCCACTGCTATCCACATATTCGATGACCCTGCCATGGAGTGGTCTACTGTCGTGAGGGACCTTCTACTGCAAGGAAATAATGTTCAGACTGATGACTCCGATATGCTTCCCTGCCGGCATATTCATCAGTGCTGTTCAGCAACTTGTACCAGGTGATTGGCTACGGCGATCGATCCCGGTTCCGAATCGCGTGTACGGATCTCTGGTATTCTGTCTAGTATGTTCGTGGCATCTCTGTCATTGTGCGAAGTACCGGATGGGAAATCCCAACACGCACCTCTGCCACGCCTTACAGTCACGCTGTGCCCTTCCTCTGCTGTCCGATCACCTGGACGCAAGTCCGGTACACCAAGAACTGAAGCAGATACTGCACGTCACGCTCACCTCTCGGTACGACCTGATCGAGCCCAAGTGGGCTGCTTCTCGAAAATCCCTCCAAGATATCATTGCGAGCGACAACGAGGTCGCAGGGACTGCAAGGGGCACCGGCTTCAACGCCTTTGCTGGAATCGGCGAGCCGAGCAATGGCATCAAACACCACCACAGTCTCACCCTGGCCGGATGCCGAGTCAGTCCACCGAGGACGCCAACTTCATGACCTCACACTTGCCAGATGATGCTCCGATGTCCTCTGAGCTCAATGGCAGTGAAATTGGGCGTCTCCGCGGAGAAGGCTGAGAGGGCGGAGCAGTCCCGCAAGCAGGCCAATCTACACGGTACATTGGACGGCGATCGTGGGGCCGTTTGAGGTGGATGTATCATCGCCTGTAGCTGAGGTGCCAATAGCGGCATTCTGAACCACAACAAGCCTGCGGTCACTTGCTAGTGCTTCCCCTCAGGTACCCCTTCAGCAGGAAGACAATGCTGATGCAGAGTCCCATCGCCGCGAAGCCAATGCCTACGTACCACGCTCCTCTGTATCCCTTGAGCAGGTCCTCCGACGTACGACCGCCATTGTTGACATGTACCTCCACCGTCCCTGCGAAGCCCAAGCCAAGGGATATACTGTAGTTGACGATCGTGGTGACCAGGCTCGCGGCAATGCCCTGGTGCTCTTTCCGCACAGCATTGGACAGGATGATTGTCGCGGCAGGGAACGACATGTCCATTCCCCACGGGATGACAATCATGCAGACAAATGTCTGCGCCCAATAAGTTTGATGGACCGGTGCAGTTGCGATGAGAATGTGTCCGATGGTGAAGAACGCTAGGGCGAGGGCCATCACCATGGGTGGCCTGAGCTTCGACAGGGCAATGCCCGTTACGACGGACGCTATGAAGCCCGACACCGCCACGGGCGCCATGTACGCCACGGTAAGAAGAGGCGACGACTGGCGGAGCACTTGAAGGAAGTTGACGAGGTAGAGGGCCCAGATACCTAATAGACCACACCCTGTTAGCTCGAAACAACTTGGTACGTTGGGCTTGGAAGCCCTCCGAGCACAGGAGTGATTGACTCACCAAACGACGACCACCCGCATATGATGCATGCGAGCACAAACCCCACATCGACGGTGAGGGAGTCAAACGGCACAAGCGGCGCCTTCGCGACCCGGAATTCGATGTAGAAGAACAGCGGGACCAAGAGGATACCGACCAGCATGGTGATGTAGACGTATACCTTCTGCCAACCCACAATTGGAGCTTGGTTCCACGCAAAATTGAACAAGACCAGGGCTGTGATGCCGACGACCGCGCCCGGGAGGTCGAGAAGCTTGATCTTCTCGCGGAGAGAGAGAACAGGCACAGATGTCCCAACGGATTGGATCTTCGCCGCAGGGTTGGGGATGACGACCGCTGCGACGATAGCGATCGCGGCGAGCACGATGGCGAAAGAGAAGTATGCCCACGGCCACCATGTTAGGGCGAAGAGGCCGGCGAAGAGACCACCGATGATGGACCCACCTGCAGAAGAGCCGGATGCATGATTAGAGGGTTAATCTAGTATGTATTTTGCTTCGCAGGAAAGGGTGTACGATTCGATAGCAGGTGCTAGGGGAAGCAAGGGAGGGAACTGACCTGGCGCGCATGCTCCGAATAACGCAAACACCATATCCTTCCTGGGACTGCCGTTCGCGTAGCTTGCGCCCAGCAGCGCGACGCCGTTGGGCAATAGGATCGCCGGCCCGATGCCCTGCAAGACGCGCGCAAACACGAACAGCACGTGGTCCGCGTAGATGGCCAGGCCGGCCACGAGGGACCAGATCGAGAACCAGGCGTACCCGATCAGCAGCATGCGTTTGTACCCGAACATGTCGCCTAGTCGGCCGCTGACGAGGATGAAGGTCCCGACCGTGAGACTGTAGCCGGCGACTAGCCAGCTTAGTTCACCGGCGTTGCTGAGGTGGAAGCTGCGTCCGATGTCGTGGAGGATGAATAGCGCCTGGCCGAAGCCAACTTGCGTGGTGAATTGCGCGGTGCAGATGATGCCGACAAAGAGGATCTCATGGCCCAGCGAGAGCGACTCGGCCAGCGGGGCTGAGATCTGGCGCGAGACGGCATTCTGGGTGGTCGATTCTTTGTCGAGAGCGTCGTCCATGTGGTGGGGAACGGGCACATTTTGCGCGTGTGTTTGGCTTTGTGTTTCTAGATCCAAGGGCTCCAGACTGGACGGCTGTCGTGGGCTTCCGTAGCTCTCATCTTCTTTCTCGAGAGGTTTCCCTTGCGAAATGTTGACGTGTGGCTTATCCATGGCAGAATTAGCATCGGTGGCGGGTTCAGAGCCAGGGCGAGATCTGGTGACTGGTGCTTGATGTTGCGAGTCCTCATCTTCGGCCGCCATGTGATGTATGTCTGCGGCTGTTCCGTGCGAGTGAGTAACGTGGTTGAGATGTACACGAATCTCGTCCAAGGCCGCAAAGGGAGAAGGTTAAGCCCCAGCTTAAGAGGACGTGATGTGGTTGATGTCCAGCATGCCATCACGGAGCCAGCGGCGTTCTCTTAAGCGACATCTGAAGGACTGTGGGGCGTTCCCGCCGCCTCTACAATCACACGGAGAGATAACTAGTACGTGCTCGTACGAGCATATCTGCCTGGCTGTGGCAGGCTGCGAGCACGTTAGCGATCAACCGCATGATTCGAGCACGATTGACGAGCGTGGAATTTCAGGGGTCCGATTCTTTGTACGAACTTGGAAGCCTTGATGGATGTGGAGTCGCCCGTCGCCTCGCTCCCCAGCTACTTCATTTGGACAATATCCTGTCTGACCAGAGTGTTGGTGTTGGTTTGCAGCCGAGAAAGCTCGTCAGACGTGCATTCGGCTTCTCACACGAGCCGCCGCGTGGAGCCGGGATCCCCTAACACCGTCGTTCAGAGAGGTCGCTAATTGCCATTGCCATCTGCGAGGGGGGAATCTCGTAATCACAAGTATGTCGCGGTGTCCTTCCGCTGTATGACTCGTCGCCGAGGGTGTCACTTGGATATTAGCGGCCTAGTGGTGGGGATCGATGTTCCGCACCTCTACTGTGAATTGCAGATTGTCTGTGTACTGTAGTCGTTCCCGTAGTGTGAACGGACACTTAAATTGCGGAGTGACCAGTTTCAGATAAAAGAAGTTTGGTGGATGGCGTACAAGATGGGAAATTCTAAAGCCAGCGCGAGGAAATGGCAAGGCTAACATTCAGGTTGCGACTCGAGACTTTTGCAGCGATATTTGAAATGGGCAACTACTTCCAGCTCCGCAACTTGACTAGGACGCTACTCAATGCAACATATTAATTCTATTTCCAAGTTCACATTCATTGCCCGAATTTGTCTTGGTGAAGGCGACATGCACTGTAAGTGAGCGAGAAGTGAGCTGGTGCAGACACGCATCGGACGACGGAAGGCACGAATGACGTCAGTCTATTCGATCACCGCGTCGTGTGTCTTCGATCCTGAAATCTGACAACGTACTCCGTACCGAAGAGAAATTTACTCTGGTCGACAGTATCATCGACAGTATCCCGGTGCTAGGAAGAGTGATACCGCGAACTGCTCTCAGAATGACACAATAGCCTTTCTTGTGACTCGAAGCGATGGTATGTCGAACACCGCAGCACCATACCGTGGCTAACATCAGAAGGCTTCACTTTTACGACAGATCGTCGCCGGACCGCGAGCGCGACAGTGAGTCTGATGGGCTTTCTGTCCTTACTTTGCCCGCAATACTAAATGCTGACGAGGTCCGTAGTCCAGAAGCAGGGTTGGACCTGTGCTACGTGACGGACGACGGTATGCAAGCTACAAGACCAGGCTCGAGAGATGTGCTAAAGTCTGGCAGTTGTCGTTACTTCCGGCCCGAGTTCAGTATGGCCGAAGAAAGCCTACCGAAATCCCCTGAGCCAGCTCGTTGGCTTCCTCGATCGGAAGCACGGCGAAGATTGGTCCATATTCGAGTTTCGAGCAGAAGGCACTGGGTATCCTGATTCGGAGGTTTACAACAGGATACACCACTTCCCGTGGCCGGACCACCACCCTCCTCCCTTCGCAATAATCCCAAATCTTATGGCTTCCATGCGCAATTGGATCCAGCGCGCAGAAGAGAAAGCTGGCGAAGAGGGTGGTGACAATAAGAGGCGAGTGGCCGTTGTACACTGCAAAGCCGGCAAGGGCAGGAGTGGCACAGCGGCCTGCTCATACTTGATCAGCGAGGAAGGATGGAAGAAAGAAGACGCCCTACAACGATTCACCACGAGACGAATGCGCCCCGGGTTTGGCCTCGGCGTGAGTATTCCAAGTCAGCTGCGTTGGGTTGATTATGTGGATCGATGGGCAAACAGGATGGGCAAACGTTATGTCGAGAGGCCTGTAGAGGTCGTTGAAGTCCATGTTTGGGGTCTGAGGGACGGTGTCAAGGTGTCTGTGGAAGGGTTTGTCGACAACGGACGGCGCATCCGCGCATTCCATACATTCACTCGGCAGGAAAAGACCGTCGTGGAAGACAGCAACAGATCAGCAAATCCAGCCTCAGAGGCTAAAAAGCACGACCAAATACTAACCAGTCCAACGAACGGCACCCCACAGTCATCTTCGATGAGCTTAGGCTCTAGCGCGGAGCCTTCTTCTCAGTCCGTGATCCTCAAACCGTCTCAGCCACTGATACTCCCAACCAGCGATATTAATATTGACTTCGAACGACGAAACAAAGCGGGGTACACGGGCCTCACAATGGTCACTGCCATTGCTCACGTATGGTTTAATGCATATTTCGAAGGCGGCCACGAAGGTCATGATTCCGGCATTTTTGAAATCGAGTGGGAAGCCATGGACGGTATCAAGGGTAGCTCCAGAAAGGGCACGAAAGCACTGGATCGCCTCAAGGTCGTCTGGAAATACGCCAAACAAGAAGGTGAAGGTGGACCCGTTGAAAGGATCATAACACAGCCCGAGAAGGGAGAGCCGGTACCAGAGGAGCAGCCCGCGGATTGGCGAGGCGTTGACGATACTGAGGTCCGGCCAGCGGACGGCGTTGATAGTGGCCGGAAGGGAGCCGCTGCCCTGACAATGGGGGCCATGATCAATCAAGGGGCGACTACACTGGGCAAAGAACTTGGGCTTAGGAAATCCCAGCCTGAAAGTGCAGATGTGAGCCGTGCTTCGAGTGTGAAGGACGAGTCTACCTCGGGACAAGTCAGCAGTGACGCTCAGCGGGTGGAACATGCTGAAGACGAGGGAGTCAAGCCATTTGTGCCGGAAGATGAAGCGACCGACTCTCGTGGTGCTACCAACCCAGAAGTTGAAGGTAGGCAAGACACAAAAACCGGTCACAGGATGGAGGCGGGTTTGGCCAAAGCCGCTCTCGTCATCTCCAAGATGAAGCCGCCAAGGGACAAGGCTGACAAGGAGGGAGAGGGCCAGAAGGACGACGCATGAGCTTACGATTATAGAGAATTGATACCCTCAGAGTTGCTTGACCCTCGGCGGACTACAGAAGACAGCTATGTGGTTGACATTGTCGGTTTGGTTTCCCATTCGCACTTCGGTCGCATATGTTGCACCAATGCCTCGTCGCGCCTGTTGGTCCCTCGTCGTCTTCCACTCGCCACGGTTGTGCCCATGCCCCGGAGATCTGTTGGCTTATGAACAGCGTTTTGGCAAACAAGTCGTGTCGCTGCACATTTGAATGGTCTGTCGTGACCACTTCAGCACCAACACAAAGCACAACAAGCGGCCATCTTCATAGCGACCACGTATCTTCTTATGCACCGCGACCTAGATCAAGCCAACAAGCACCAAAGACCGTGGACACATCTAGAATGAGCACGACTATTACCAAGGACAAAGAGACAGAAAACAGTCTGGAGATAGCGACGAACTGTGAGCAGCAGTTCGAACCATCGAGCCTGCCGCCTCCATACGTCAATCCTATACCAATACCTGCCAGGCGACCAACAGCCTCAGCGAGGCATGACGATTTCAGCCGCCACCCGCGGAGCGGAGGCGAGCCGGCAGGGGATGACAATGACGAACTGGGCCGTGGAGAGGAGAAGGAAGATGATGCCGGCGACAATCACGATAGCCGTGCGTTTAATACTAAAGACTCGACTCAGGACCCTGGTGACAATGAGCGGGAATACGTGGGGGTATTCAGGATGGACAAGTAGGCGGCAGTTGTGCGAAAAGTAGAGAAGACATCGACATGGCCATAGGAGGAGTGTGAGATAACAGCAATTGGGGGCGTCAGTTCGAAGTTTACCTGGTACCGTACTGGAGCCCATACTACCTACCTCGTACAGTACGTACAGGAAAGCGATGGCTATGCGGAGTAGGATAGCGGGAAATAGCTTTTGGACAGACGCCGGGTGGTAGGCGTCCGAAGGAAGACGGCCTTCTCCAGTACCAGCAAGTCAGGCACAAATGCCCGGAATGCGCTTCGTGCCGCGCCTAAGTTAGTTCTTCGGAGCGCTGTCGAATACTCAGCCCTGGATGCCTGCAGAAGATATTCACTCTTTCGCATCTGGCCGATGACTGACCCGTCGATGGAGAAAGATGGCAACACGCTTGAAGTTGCGCAGGCACCACCAGGCACCACAAGGCTCGATCAGCGATCAGCGAGGGAAAGGTCTAAGTGATCGGTGAGTGAAAGTTAAGTGACGGGCGGCGAATAGGTGGGTGATGGTGGGTGATAGGTGGGTGACAGGTGGTTCCCCCGTGGCAGATCAGACCACGCTGATGACGTCAGCCGCTGTCTTCAGCTGCAGCTGCAGCTTTGACCGAAAGCAGAATTGTGAGCCATTCGTGAATTCGGGCTGAGCTCAGGCTGCACCTCTGTTCGGGCTGGGCAAAAAAAAGGAAAACCAGCGACCGGCAAGGAGGCTGGCCATCCATCTCACTTTCCACTGTCGATTTCTCAGCCTTCGTTGGATTATCTCTAGCAACCCTGGGCACCCAATCGCTAAGCAATTACATTAATGTGCCATGTCGGCACGGGACGGTGACCGGCCTTACAAGGTCGTCTATTCCAGCCGCAGGCGCGAAGAGATCGATGACTCCACGCCCAGCCGAAGGCCGAGACGCGAACTTGAATATGAGGACGATTACCGCAGAGAGAGGGTCTACTCGCGTGGTTCTCGAGACGACCGAGTCGAAGGTGACCGGCAGTCAAGGACGAGCGATTCGCGGAACGTCCTCCCAGCCGCCGGAACCACCAAGACACGGTACGCGGTCGGCCGCGACAGGAATGCAGAGGCGTATGTCAAACGCTCGGACGCTGTGATCGTTGAGGACCGGCCGTCCGACCACGGCCGCTACGAGTATGAAGTCCTCCGGCCGCAGAAGAGAGACGACGGCACCTATGTCGTCGACATTGGCGGCGGCGGCGGCGGCTACTCGCAAGACTATGCAATTGACTTCGACTCCAGGCAGCCTCGCTTGAGACGTGATGCACCTCCGCCCTCCAGGAGAGATGATATCTTATACGAGGGTCATCGCGGTGGGGGTCGTGATCGCACGGTTCGCGATGTTGCCTACAGGGACGTGCACGTCACAGAAGAGATCGACGACACCCGCTACAGTGGCCGCGGCCGGGCTTACGAAGCTTATGCCGAGGACATTCCTCCGCCTCGTCGACTGAAAAGCGCAATGCGGGGTGGGAACAGCTCGCCTCCCGCTCTGCACAGACGGGCAAGCGTAGGGTTCTACCGCGATCAGATCAGTAACCATGATGCGAGCGAGAGTCGACACGAGAGACCAGGAGCTGAAGCACACCTGGCCGGTCGCTACCTCCAGGGCAATGGGCTCGCGGACGATGACGTCTACGCCGCGGGATATACTAGACGGAACAGGAGCAGGAGCCGCTCCCGGGGCAGATACGGTCCCCAGCGGAGCGACCCGCGACTTCACGAGTATGATGAAGTGGATGAGGAGCGACGTACCTTTACCGAGCAAACAATGAGACAGTATGAGTATGAAGATGATCAACGGCCAGCGTATCCGCCACAGAGAGCAACTTCCAGGCGACGACACCAAAGGCACCATCGTGATGACGACGATCGGTCTTCCCAGTTCGAAACAGAACTGGTTAAGCGGACCACGAAGGAATACTACCGATAGCTGATGGATCATGACCGTGATGACTGATGAATGAATTCCTTTTGCGAATTGGAAGATCTAATGTCTGCGTGCAGCTGGGATCTCGGAAACAAGAGAACGTACTTGTCGGAAATTCGGATGGACGGTGTTTCCTTTGGCGTTTTCTGAAACATTGAAGACTCATTGATACGGGAAAATATCTGGGTATCCTACTCCACCTATCGCTCCTTCTCACACAACTCCGGCAATACCAACGACTCCTCAATCAATCTTTGAGCCCTCCTCGCCAGGTTACACAGATCAATCTACACATTGACGACAATGCAAACGCCTGCCTTCATTCGAAACCAAGCTCCTTGGAGCCAATGGCCACTGCGACGCCGGCCTTCTCCTGGATGGAGTCTTCATCCGATGGAGGAACTCCCACTTCGACGTCTGTCAAATCCACCTTCTGTGGCGGGTAGACGGCCTCGTCAATCTTGGCGACACCGACGTCCGAGACATACTTGCAGATAACATAGTACACCAGGCCGGATATCACGAAGCCGTAGATGCAAGAGAAGGTGTAGATCTTCCAGGCACCGCCGACATTGAGGCTGTTGTCGATGCTCTTGCTGAAACCGGGCAGCAACGGCGCGACAGCGACGACGAAAGCCGTATAGGCCCTCCAATTGAAGCCGATCTTGTTGTACCGGTAGATGCCATGGCCATTGTACAGCTCATGGATATTGAGCTTCTTGTTGACGATCAGATAGTAATGGCAACACATTGTGCCGCAGATGGCGCCCATGAACATCGAGTAGCCGCTGAGAAAGGCGAGCAGACCGGACGCATTCCTGATGATCTGCCATGGGTTCGACACAACGCAGAAGATGGAGATGATCAGCGTCGCGCGGAAAATGTTGATATACTTCGGGCACAGACCGGAAACTAGGGGCACTGTCAGCATTCGATACTTGACCAGCGGCCGGAGCGATTGGTACTCACTGTCGTTGGAGAAGGGATACGTTCCGGCAGCAACTTGATTGCCGATCGTCGCCAACATGAAGCTGAAGGCGGTGAAGAACTTGGCAGCGCGGGAGTCGAACTTTGCAATCACGGCGGGCATGTACCACTCGAACTCTCCCCAGATGTAGCTGTGGGCCGAGGTGACGAAGATGGGAGTCAACGCGCCCAGTGTTCCGATGACGGGCAGCGCGAAGAACTGGTTGTATCCCTTCAGATTATTCTTGCTGAAACGGCTGAAATCGGGGAAGTTGACGGCCATTGAGCTGAAGAGGCCGATAATAGCATTCAAGCCGGTCAGGGCAGAGTATGCCGTGTTCATGTATGTCGAAGTGATCTTGGCATGTCCGGTAACAAGCGGCCCGCCGCCATGAGTGACGATGGCCGCCCACAGGAAAAGGGCTAGGAAGGTAGGAGGGACGACGATACCCTTGATCAGGAAGAGGATGCGGAGCTTCTTGATGGGCATCAAAGCAAGGATGGTTTGGAAGATCCAGTAAATGAACTGTGGACCGGGGTCAGTCGAAGTTGCAAAAAGTGGCAGTCGAGACTCACGAAGCAGAGAAGCCCAGCTGAAGTGATGCCAGCGCTTTCTGGCAAATGGTTGGGGAAGTTGGCGAAACTTGGCCAGATTGCCGTGAGGCAGTTGTTGAGGAAATCACCAGCCTGGACGCAGAGGATCGCGGTCCACATGGCGGCCACTAGAGGAGGACTGTCAGCCCTGTTCTCCCGGGGAGACACTGGATACCTACCAAATGAGCGGAGCACGATGATGGGATAGCTGCCATACCTGTGGGTCACAGCATGTTAGCATCGTCATCAACACCGGGCTGGAAACGAATGGTTTTCCGGGAGAAAGTGAGGAAAGCCAACGACAAGAACTCGAGCGCAAACTCACATGCCGAAAATGGAGCGGACGAGCACGGGGAATGGGATGCTGTATCGAGCACCCATTTTGCCGGTCAATGTCAATGCCCCGGAGCACAGAGCAAACCCACAGAACACAATGGGAATGGTCTCTCGAGCAGTGAACCCTAAGCTCATGACGGATGACACCGTGGAGGCAAGGGGCGGAGCAAGCATGTCACTTGTCCAGTATGCCCAGTAATCCTATGGATGCATGAGTCAGCTGTTCGAGATACGACGCAACCTCTCTGCAAGACACTTACGACGGCGCCCCATGTTCGGTCCTCAGGTGCCACGGGGTCCAAGTCCGGATTGGACCAGCGGGAGTCTTGGTAGACTCCCTTCTCCATGGGCACCTTCCAGTGCATGTGAGGTTCGACCTTGGCCTTGACGCGTTGAGGTGAGAGGCGCTTCGGGGAGAAGCGCTCGGCTGAGAAGTTGACCATTTTGGTTGGGGGGATGTTTGAACCTGGAAAGCGGGTAGGGAGGATGGGGAATCTGGAAATTGAAGGATGAGGATCCTTGAACACAATCGTGAGGCGAAAGAGCTCTATATAGACATCCAGTTCTTGATGTTGACATTTCCATCCTCAAAGCTGGAATCTCCAAGATAGACGAGGTGCATCTTAGACGCACTGATAGACCAGGGCACCACGAGGCAGCAGGGGCAGCAGGGGGAGATAGGCGGCCCGGCGGTGGTCGAAGGCCCATCAGTCTCATCGGATCTGCAATTCCAGTCCCGTCCAGACCCGCAGAGATCAGAATCTGGGGTTGGCGCGACGTCGGGCCACGCGAGATCCCAGATACTGGGAGTGATAGAGACGCGGCTGTGGAGGTTCAGGGCTGATAGTGCCGGCGGCAGCGAGAGGAGCGCCGGCGGCCACTGCACCAATATGGCCTCCTGCGAGACACGACGTTACGAAACGGCCTACGGCCCCGGGGCAAAACTCGAGGCTACGGCCACCGGTGCGTGAAATGTTACAGATCCAGGATACGAGGCTAGCCTGTTCTGCCCGGTGCCGCTGCGTCTGGCGGCGGCCTTATCAGCTATCTGGAATACGATCCTGAGCAGCTTCGGCCTGCGGGATCGGGTGGATAATGGGTCGTCTGGGGCACGTTGCGCCGCGTCCTCGCCTGAGCTCAGCGGCCTTGACCGTCCTGGAGATTTACTTGACTAAACAGCGTTTCATTGTCACAGCCGTAACTCTGGGCCAATGTGGACTGACTGAAGACACTTCCCGAGTATAAGACCAGATGCTCCGGACCACTGTAAGTGCGTTTCTCCCAGTCACATCCACAGCTTGAGCAGTACACGGCTTTCCCAGTCAAATTATCAGACCCAAGCTTATATGCTATCGTTATGGGTGTGACAAAGGACAAGCAGGGCTTCCTCACTATCGAGGCAAGGCCCTACCCCTTTTCCTTCCCACTGAAGCACACGGCACTACTGGTTATCGACATGCAACGGGACTTTATCTGTTCTGGTGGCTTCGGCGAGATCCAGGGTGGCAATCTCGAAGCTGTGCAGGCCTCGATCGCGCCAACGAAGCAGCTACTTGAGGCATGTCGGAGTGCTAGCATGCTCATCGTCCACACGAGGGAGGGACAAGTTCCTTCACTGGCGGACTGCCCGTCGTCAAAGCTCATCCGCCAGGCTGCGGCGCCGGGGAACAAGCAGCATCTCAAGGTCATTGGGGACAAGGGCGAGATGGGCCGTCTTCTGGTTCGGGGAGAGTACGGTCACGATATCGTCGACGAGCTTCAGCCATTGCCCGCGGAAGTGGTCATCGACAAGCCGGGCAAGGGCTCCTTCTGGAATACCCAGATCCTCCACAAACTGAAAGCGCACGGCATCACGCATCTCCTGGTCTCAGGGGTGACGACCGAGTGCTGCTTTTCCACCACCGTTAGAGAGGCCAATGATCGAGGGTTTGAATGCTGCGGCATTGTTCAAAGCACGGCCGGCTACAATCCCGCGTTCAAGACGGCTTCACTCGACATGATCTACTGGTCACAAGGTCTTTTCGGGTTCGTGGCCGATCTTCAACCGGTAGTGGATGTGCTCTCGCCCTGGCAGAATCAGAGCAAGGGAGTCAACACCCCTCCCCAGACACCTCCAGCGTGGAATGGGAGACTAGGAATCGCCGATCTGCACGCATCCTACAAGAACGGGCTTTCACCTCTGGAGCTGGCCAATGCATTGTGTGACCGAATTGAGAAGTACGAGAAAATTGACCCGGCCGTGTGGATTAGACGGGAGTCACGCGATGCCGTGTTGGAGCAAGCCAGACGCCTCCTCGAGCTGTATCCAGACAAGCATTCGCGTCCAGCGCTGTTCGGTGTGCCCTTCACAGTCAAGGACTCCATCGACGTCCAGGGAGTCGAGACAACGACGGCATGCCCGCCCCTAGCATTCGTAGCTACCAGGTCCGCAGCGGTGTACCAGAAGGTCATGGCTCAGGGGGCGTTGTATCTGGGCAAGGTGAACCTGGATCAGCTGGCGACTGGTCTAAGCGGATGTAGAAGTCCGTTTGGTGTCACTCACTCTGTGTTCAGTGACGACCACATCTCGGGAGGCAGCAGTAGCGGAAGTTGTGTCAGTGTTGGTGCCGATCTGGTTGGTCCATCCCTGTCGCGAGAACTGATCTGTATTTGCTGATACTCACCTCTAGGCAACCTTCTCACTAGCAACGGACACGGCTGGGTCTGGCCGTGTGCCGGCCGGCTACAACGGGGTGGTCGGATTCAAGCCCACGCGTGGTCTGGTGTCGTTTGAAGGCATCACTCCTGCATGCCTGTCCCTGGATTGCATTGCGTTCACCACGAGAACCGTCGATGACGCCCGCACGTTATGGCAGCTTTGTGAGGATTATGACGAAAATGATCGCTACTCGAGAGACACATTCCCAGCGGAACGGCATGTCAATTCCCTTGGGGCGCAACGAGAGGCGTTTCGATTTGGCATCCCGCCGCCTGAAGTTCTCGAGGTCTGCTCACCTACTTTTCGCAAGCTGTTCAATGAAGCCGTGCACCAGCTGCAGAGCATGGGCGGCAGCCTGGTGTCCATCGACTGGACACCATTCCAGAAAGCAGGAGACCTGCTGTACGCAGGCACCTTCGTCTCGGAGCGACTAGCTAGCCTACCGGATGATTTCCTGGAGAAGAACAGACAGCACCTGCATCCGGTCATCCTCGAGCTGTTCGAAGAAGTGGTCGCACGACAGAGCACAGCGGTCCAGTTATTCCGGGACCTCCAAGCCAAAGCGTTGTACACGCGCCAAGCGACAGCCCAGTTCGCCGCGGCGGACAGACTGGGAATTGACGTCTTGGTCGTGCCCACTGCACCTGAGCATCCGACCATTAAGGCCATGCTCGCAGACCCGATCCGCTTGAACGCGAAGATGGGGACTTTCACACACTTCGGAAACGTGCTTGATATGTGCGCCGTGGCAGTGCCGGCGGCCACGTACCGGGAGGGCGAGGCTGGACCACAATTGCCCTTCAGCGTGACATTGCTGGGCTGCCGGTGCTCCGACAGCGAAGTCCTGGGGATCGCGAGCCGGTTTCAGGCGAGGACGGGGCAGTAGAAGTACTGTAGACGACGTGCTCTGACGACGGGCGGTTTCGATGACATGTTTTGGCATTTAACGATAGCGAATGCATGAAGCCCGATGACAGATGACAAGCCTCCCATCTCACCCACCCTCCACCACGCCCACGCGGTGGCACCGCCTTCTCCGCTTGTGTGCCCCGTTCTTCAGCGCGATCCCCCCCAGCAGCCAATGGCACGGCGGGCTTCCTTATCTCTCCCAGCACTCGGAAACGACACTAATCCATGGTGCCTATTATTTCTTACTCAATCAATTGCTGGCTCATTCGCTATACCGGGCTTAGCCGGGGCCCATGCTCGACGCCCATTAGTTGCTGGGGCTCCGCTCCGAAGTCCCAGCATGGCTTGCCAGATCTGCCTTGACCAGTTTCTGGCCTGCCCGTGCTCCCATACAAAGGTCCAACTCCTACCAGAAAACAGAAGCTTATCCTGACGCGACATGCCCACAAACGAAATCGGCCCTGGACGGCAGAGGTAAAAAGCAAACATCTGTTCAGACACACTGATATGCTTTGGCGTGGACGCTTGGCCCTCGCCAATAAAGGCACCGCTCTCCGGACACCCCCATAACGGTCATGCTCTCGATACCGCCTACTCTTATCGACCCTACCACTGCCACCAGGAGTCCCTCGATAGGTGACGGGTCAGGGAACGTGAGCGCTATGACATCGCCCACTGCCAGTCCCCGCGGGCCCAGCATTCGCCCGGATCGCCCCTGTGATGGGTGTCGACGGAGGAAGAGTCGCTGCGTCATCTCTCCCGATGCAGCTGCGTGTGTGATGTGCCAGTTCCACAAGCAGCCATGCACCTTTGTCGAAGAGGCTCCCCGGCGACGGAGACAGGCGAATCCTCCTGCCACCAATTCGGACACTGCTTCGGCGGGCCCCCTAACTCGGCAAAGACGATCGTGAGGCTTTCCCACCTTTATCAAAGTCCCCCAATTCCACGCGAGGGACTCCTCGGTCCTGCAGCTCTTTATCATCAGGCTAAGTCTAGAGATAACAGAGATTCCGATGGGAATGGACACGCCCCACGACGGCAGTCAGCCGAGTCCATTCGCACTGGCCCGGTCATTGACGATTATGCGAACCTGCAGGGCGATTCTTTATTGAAGCGGACGCTCGGGTATGTCTTCAGCTGACACCAGCGACAATGTGTCCTTTTCTCCGAGATCCTGTCTGTGAGCTGACCATGGCCAGGCTCCAAAATCACCGATACGCAAAATACGTAGGCCGTCCTCATCCTCGCGCGGCTATCTGTTGTCCTCGAACATTGCTGGGCGGCAGCCTCTCGACTGACCTTTGTGTACAGATCGGACCGACCGACGAACACGATTTTGCACTTCTAGATCTCCGACTGTACGACGACCTTCGAGGAGAGAGCCCCGCCGACCGAGGGTCTTTCCGCAAGGTCGGACCGAACGAGTTCTTCCACCAGTACGCCGATGCCGACTCGCCGAATCACGCCAGAGAGGTCGAGGAGCTCGACAACATTGAGCGCATCGTCGCTCCCCACGGCGAGGCCTTGATCAGACTCTACTTTCGCATTGTGCACCCCAGCTTCCCCATCCTGCACAAGAAGGTGTACCTGGAGAAGTATGGCCGGACGCATCGAGAATTTTCGCCCCCGTTGCTCGCGGCCGTCTATCTGCTGGCGCTGAACTGGTGGTCGTACAGCTCGGAGCTCGCCAAACTCCCCAAGCCCGACGTGGTCGAGCTGGAAGACATCGCCTACCGAACACTGCAGGACGTGTCGCACCGCGCCAAGTTGTCCACCGTGCAAGCGGGCCTCCTCTTGCTCCAACGTCCGGGGAGCAACCAAGCGTGGCAGTTGACCTCGCAGCTCGTCGCCATCGGGCAAGACCTGGGGTTACATTTGGATTGCTCGAACTGGCGCATCCCCACGTGGGAGAAGGGACTCCGAAAGCGGCTCGCCTGGGCGCTCTTTCTGCAAGACGCGTGGTCGGCACTGATTTACGGACGTCCTCCGCACATCTGCTCCAGCAATTGGGCCGTCCAGCCCGTGATCAGCAGTGATTTCCCCGAGAGCGCGGCCGACGAGGACGGAGAGGAGGGCAGCACCGAAGTCGAGAAGGGCAGGACCCTGTTCAGCGCCATGATCACGCTCACCAAGATGCTCTCCGAAGTCTTGGAGGGGCTCTACTCCCTCCGAGCCGAGATGGAGGTCAAGAGTGCCTACGACACCACCAAGGCGATCCTGGAACGAGCCAAGCCGATCCAGCTCAAACTGCGTTCGTGGTACGCCGAAATGCCCGAGGCCCTGCGCATGGATGCCACGCGCGTCGGCAAGCTGAGCTCCGTGGGCTACTTGCACCTGGCCTACTTTGCCACCGAGATCACGCTGCACCGGCGCATCCTCCGCTCGCTCTCCCACAACACGGACCCCTATATGATCCAGATCTGCCGGTCCGCGGCCAAGGCCCGGCTCATCAGCGCCATGGACTTCTTCAACCGCCTGAAACCCGAGCATCTGCAGTCGTTCTGGTACTTTGCGTCCAAATTCAACTTTGCCCTCATCGGCACGTTTGCGGGGCTATGCTTCGTCACCTCGGTCAGCCAGGAAGAAGCAGAGTTCTACCAGCGACGACTGCAGGAATATCGATGGACGCTGAGAGTGTCCAACAAGAGCGCCGAGTTTCTCGAGATCGCCAGCGGCATCCTGGAGTCGGCGGTGGGTTCGTTGCTGAAGGCCGCAGACTCGATCGACAGTCGGAGGCTGTCGTTCCCCATGCTCCAGCCACAGCCTGAGGACGACATTGCGATGGACTCGTTCTTCCCAGGGACCGACGATGCCTTTTATGATACTCCGATGGAGGCTTGATTTGCAGAGCCCCGTCCTTTCTGGACCGGCGATGCCTTTTAGGATACTCTGAAGGAGGCTTGGTTTGCAGAGCCCCGTCCTTCGGGACCAACGATCCCTTCTATGATACTCGAATGGAGGCTTGATCGCAGAGCCCGACCCTTTCGGAGATCTTCGTCCCGGGCGTCCAGTCCGGCGTTAAGCACTTGCGAGCTGCCTGTTCCACACTAGAGTGGCACCGGAGACGAATGTGGAACCCGACTCAGGGCCTGGCCCACCGGAGCTTTCTCCGGGGGAGCTGAGAGCTAATGGGTGGATGACTCACACTGGCCTGCTGTTACACGGACGACGGCTTCTTTGATATTGACGGTGAGGTTACCAGAAGATCAAAAACCTTGCACTTTTGATTCATTCTTTGCCCACCGGCGCCTCTCTACTCTGAACGCGCACAGCCCCTCATCATGGCTACAAGAACTGACGTCGAGCTTCGAACAATCTTGCAGCCAGAGCGGCTGCCTCACTTGGGAGCAATGCACGGGAATGGCTCCAGACTATCGCCAGACGCTACCTCGAACGCACTTGATCGGGATGATTCGTCCAGACTATCAACAAACGCTCCGTCCCATGGCGGAAGGTTCCTCCAAGACGAAGCACCAGCAAACGCTGCCACCTCCCTACCCGAAGGAGGATACGGCTGGACGATCGTCTCCGTCTGCGCGCTCTTCACGTTCTGGTTCAACGGCATCATGGGCAGCTGGGGCGTCGTCCAGGCCGCCCTGCTGCGCTCCGACCTCCCATCGACCTCGACCTCGACCATCTCTTTCGTCGGCACCTTGGGCCTGGCCTGCGTCGTCGCGTTCGGACTGTTCAGCGTGCGTCTGGTGCGCATCCTCGGCGCCCGTCTGGCTGCCTTTCTGGGTCTCGGGCTGCTTGCTGCGGGCGAGGTCGTCTCCTCCTTCACCACGTCCAATGTGGGCGGACTGTTCGGCTCGTCGGGCGTGCTCTACGGCCTCGGCGCCTGTCTGCTGTATTCGATCTCGAACATCCTGCCGACGCAATACTTCGGTGCGCGCCTCGGGCTGGCGTCCGGGATCGTCAAACTGGGCGGGGGCATCGGCGCGGCCGTGCTGGCGGTCGCCATTGACGCATTGATCGACCGAGTCGGCATACCCTGGACGTTTCGATTCCTGGGCCTCTGTTCCCTGGCAACGTGCGCGCCCGCGGCGTTCTTCATCCGCGAGCGCGTGCCCATTGGGAAGGTGCCATTCCTCGACGTATCGATATTCCGCAACCTGGCTTTCACGGCCATCTTCTTCGCCGGCGCCATCGGCACGTTCTCGCTCTTCATCCCGCCCTACTTCCTGCCTCTCGTAGCCCAGAGTGTGGGACTGAGCTCGTCGACCGGAGCCGGTCTCGTGGGTGGGTTCAACGCATGCACGGCCGTGGGTCGATTCCTGTCCGGCTGGCTCAGCGACTCGATCGGTCCGGTCAATATGTTTCTCCTAGCGATGGCTCTCAACGCCATCAGCATGCTGGCCATATGGCCGGTTTCCAACTCGCTGGGCCCGCTTGTCATTTTTGCCATGTTCAACGGTCTGGCGAACGGGGCCTTCTTCACGCTCTACCCCGTTGTGGTGGCCAGCACGGCGGCGCGGGTGGAGCACGCCGATTCCGGCCGCGTCGCCATCGCCATGGGCATGTCGATTACTGGCTGGACGGGCGGCTATTTGATGGGCGTGTAAGTATACTCCGTCACGGTGACCTGACATGGCTAACCCGCCATGCTAGTCCCATAGCAGGATATCTTCTTCAGGCCTCAGGCATGGCAGTCGAGCCGTCGTCCTCGACGAGGCACAAGTCCGACACTCCCATCGCGCCTTACCGTCCCGCGATCTTCTATGCCGGCGGCGTGGCATTAGTCTCGGCAGGTTGTGTCTTGGTCGCGAGACTGAAGCTCGGGCCGAGTATCAGGAAGAAGGTGTGAGGGGAGTCGCTAGTTAGGAGGGGTCGAGAGAACATGCGGTACGCGGTCAAGACGCCCTCAAACAAGACGGAATACAACACCTTTGAAATACACAATTATTCAGTGAAAATCGCTCAGAGACAACATGCACACTCTTTCTGTCTCATTTGTTTCTTCTCTCACCACATTGGTTTCTTCTCTCACCACATGGAAAGCAGGTGGTAAGTGCGTAGCTGGCAGAGCAAGAGGTATGCAGATGCTTGAGATTGAGAGAGACTATGAAGAGGGAAAGGTGGCTATATACACAGGGTCACGTGTTAGTCCCGTGATAAACACGTGATCCAATGAGGTAGCTGGAGTGTGCCTGCCAATGCGTTGCTCCAACAGGAGCGAGCACGCACCAACCACTCACAGACCCGCTATAGCCGAAGATTACCCCTGCTTCCCACGTCTTTGCTTGCCTCCCCACCACTTGGGCGTCCGTGTCTCATGATCTCATTCCATACTACGGAGCACCAGGGGTACTGTATGAGTGTCCCGAGTACCTCGTACTCCCTACATTACTCAGCAAACCCCCCAATGCACAAAGCCACGACTCGATCCAAGCCCTAAGGCGTCCCAGCCCCAATTCCAATCAGGCCCTGCGCCCACACCCCAGCCAGCCAGTTGCGCATGATCCTCGCTTACGAGTACACTCTATCCTCCTCTCGGTGTTAACTGCGAGTATGTGCACAGACGATAGCAGGTGGATGTGCGGATGCAGATGCAGATGAAGAGCCAGGTGCCGTAAACATGGATGGCCGGAAATAAAACACCTACATGAGCACAATGCTGAGACTTGCAGGACTCAGGACTCAGGACCTACGCTGTGCCGCTGTGCCGCGTCCCGCCTGACTCGGACCACAGTACACTGCACACTGCACACACTCCAGGACACTGCTCGTCCGGCTATCTGTTGGGTTTTCTATTTGTCGAGCAACCCCATTCATTCCCTGACCGTGCATGGCATTCCCCGGTCTCAGTTCTCCATACTCTGTACTCCGTACCCGGTCGTGCCAGTGCCAGTCACAGTCCAACTCAGAACCGACTCGTCACGTCCAAGTCAAGCCAAGCATAAGGTCCATTCACCCGCGTCGCCGCGCCAACCTAATCTCGTCCGTTCGTGTGTGTGTGAGTACCGCAAATGCAGTACAGTCCCAGATTCTGCCTCGGTACATACACGGCATACTGCAGGCCTCCACCTTTGGAGCCATGAGTCCAGTCCAGCCCAGACCCAGACGTACTCGCTTGCTGGCTGGCTGGCTGGCTGGCTGGCCCGCCTGTTCGCCCGAACATATCCTCCCGGTAGAGGGATATAAGGCGTCGTAGGGCGGCCATTGACGTAGAGTTGATTAAACCACATACCACCTACCTACCTACAGTACATACATTACATTACAAGGTAGGGTAGACTTGTCCGTATTGTGGCGAGTAGGGCGGAACCCAGAAGGCATCCACAGCTCTAGCAAGCAAGAGCAAGAAATACAAGGCACCCGCAAGCACCTACAAGCTCGCCCTCAAAATGGCACAAGTCCAAGGCTATGCAAACCCACCGTTCGAGAAACTCAAGCAAGCGCTCGAAGACAAGATCGCGGCCGACGAGGAACTCGGCGCGTCCATCGTGCTCAACGTCGACGGCAAGAACGTCGTCGACATCTGGGGCGGCTACTTTGACGAAGCCAAGACGCAACCGTGGCAATCCGACACCATCACCAACGTGTGGTCGTCGACCAAGACCATCGCGACCTTTGCCCTGCTCGTCGCGCACGACCGCGGCCTCCTGTCCGTCGACGACCCCGTGGCCAAGCACTGGCCCGAGTTTGCGGAGAACGGCAAAGAAGGTGTGCTAGTCCGCCACCTCATGTCGCACACGTCCGGCGTGTCCGGGTGGGAAGACCCCATCACGGCCGAAGAGGTCATGGACGTGCCGGCGTCGACGGCGCGGCTCGCCAAGCAAGCCCCCTGGTGGGCGCCGGGTACGGCGAGCGGCTACCACGCGGTCAACATGGGCCACCTGCTGGGCGAGGTGCTGCGGCGCGCGACGGGCAAGACGATGAAACAGTTTGTGGCCGACGAGATCGCGGGGCCCCTGGGCGCCGACTTCCAGATCGGCGCCCTGGAACGCGACTGGCCGCGCGTGTCGCCCGTCACGCCGCCGCCGCCTTTTCCCTGGGACTTTGCCAAGATGGACCCGAACAGCCCGACGGTCAAGACGTTCAGCAACCCGCAGCTGGACGCGCGCAAGGCCTTGCTCTCGGAGTGGCGCCGCGCCGACATGGCCGCCGTGAACGGGCACGCCAACGCCCGCGCGCTGAACCGCATCTTGTCGGCCATCCCGAACGGGGGGGTCGTCGACGGCGTCAGGCTCCTCTCGCCCGAGACCATCGACCTGATCTTCCGCCAACAGGCCGACGGGCCGGATCTCGTCATCGGCCTGCCCTTGCGGTTCGGCATCGGCTACGGGCTCGGTGGGGGCGGGACCGCGCAGACCGTGCCCTGGCTGCCCACGGGGAAGATGTGTTTCTGGGGAGGCTGGGGCGGCAGCTTGGAGGTCATGGACCTGCACCACAAAGTCACCTTCACCTATGTCATGAATCGGATGGGCGAGGGCATTCTTGGCAATAGTCGCTCGCAGGAGTACGTGCAGTTGGTGTGGAAAATCTTGGACGAGCAACCGCAGGCGAATGGTAAGCTGTGAGAAGCCCAATGGTATGTGTAAGCTGTGAGGCGGCGTCGGCCGCAACCCCCAAGGGGGTGGCAATCGTACTGTGCTGTTCGGAGTGCTCTTGTCGGTAGGTAGTCTGTAACACGGTACTGTAGCCCAATTTAGCTCGCTGTATACACACTGTCATCCCCTGGCTCACCTCTAGAAGTACTCAATCCATAGTATACGTAGGGTACACCCTATGTATTATATCCTTCAGTTCGTTCGTGGCCAGAGAGGAACCGACCGGATCAGACGACAACACGCAAAGCATAAAGCCATGCCATGCCGTACCATGCCATTTAACACTCGGACGTTCTCCCGCACGCGATATACTCGCTGTAGGTATGTATGTATGTATGTACACGCGCTGAAGGTCGGCTTGCTGGACTCTCCAGCGTCGTTCGTGGTTGCTTGGTACTGTACTGTATTGTATTGTAAATCATACATACGGAGCCACACTGCACGCCTACCGAGGTGCCTAATTAGCGCTCCTTTCGTGGTTCGACAGGAATGGGCGCCAACGTGTCCGAACGCGGAGGTAGGCGTGCGTACAGTACATGGGCAAAGCACAGCTAGTACAGTAAGGCAAGTCGACTTGAAGCCAAAGGTACTCCGTAATCAAGTCTTGTTCAGTGTTAATTCCACTCATGGAGGTACAAAGTAAGTACCTTGGAATCCACCTCCTACCTACTGATTACCCTAGACTGAATCGTGGGAGGGCCATGCGTGGAGCGTCACACAGCCATGATACAAGTAGGTGAAGTTATCGCCGGGACTTTGCTTTGTCCCTATACATAGGCCAGCCAGGCAGCCGGGTAAGTACAATAATCAGGGCAGGCAAGAAAAGTGTACCTCGTGTCTCTCAGGGGTATAGAGTGGTGATAGACGTATGAAGATTCAAACCAGGCAGAGAGAGAGAGAGAGAGAGAGAGAGAGAGAGAGAGAGAGAGAGAGAGAGAGAGAAAGGACGAGCTTAGTTCTGACGTTCGGTCTATATAGCTGTCCGTCCGTCCGTCCTATATATCATGTACTGGCGTGGGACGAAGCCATATGTAAGGCAAGGCAAGGCAAGGCCAGACATAGAAAAGGCATCTCACATCAGTCGGTTATCGTCTCATCGACTAGCCAGCAAGCCTTTAGCATACATCCATCCACAATACAGCGCACTCCGATCAAGCAAGTCAACGATTGATAGAACAGGGTAGCCGCAATATCATGTCTCCGTCCCTACAAGCCTGGCAACAAGGACGTGGTGATCAACGTTGTTCGTGTCTGAGGTAAGGGAAAGAGCGGCGAGCTGGGCAGGGATGATGTGCGGATCGCGGAGATAGGAACCATGTGTGGCTTCGTCCGGCATTCGAGGCGTGAGATATTGGTGCCGTGCCGCTCTGGACGGTGAGGGGTCTGGCACGGCTCTTGCTCCGACCCGTTAGGAACCATGCGATGCGAGAGGATGAGATAGGGTAGAGCAAGAGAGGATACGGACAACTGTATGCTCATTCCATTTCCATCGTTCCGTCGGGCAAGATCGAGGCGCGTCCTTTTCCTTCCCATGCTCGCCGTGCTTCCATGGATTTCTTCTTCATCTCATCAATTGCTCGGGGGTATCGGGATATTGGAAACATCGTTCTGTCCTGCGGCACCCTCCACCATACGGGGGCGTCACTTGGACGGTATTGATATCTCCATGACGCCGGTTGACATGTGTGTATCTTCATGGCCATGGACTTTTAATCAGACCTCTTCCTCCCCTCCCAGCGTTGAGTCGGCCACAATTCAATCATTCTCCTTGTATCATCTCGCCTCATCTCGAGCCACAGCCTGCAGGAATTGATCCACGAACAGGACCCCGTGCCCCAACCCAGTTTGCACATCGTTGCGCGCCGAGCAGAAGCGGATTACCGGGAGTGATTCATCCAAATGTGAAGGAGCCGTGCTCTGATGGAGAAGTACACGTGCCATGCGCAAGATGGCGACAGCCGTACCATCGCTCAAAATTCAATTCTCTTTGCCGGCGACTCAAGGGCCGACGGGATGACAACTGTCCCAGTGACAGGAACTGGGTTGGTCGTCCTTGGATGCCTGATACAGAGGAAGTCGACCTGCGCGTGCGAATGTGCTGACCGATCGTCCCGGTCCCCTTCGATCTTGCGTATTGATAAATTGAAAACGTCGAAGAGTCTGCACGGTTGCTGTCGTTTCCCCCTGTGGGTAGGCTGGAGTTTTTGGAGCCCATAGCTCACGTCCGCCATCTGGGATTGGGCGTGCATTGAACTCTGCAGCGCATCTTTTTCGGTATGCTTCTGTATGGCCTCTGCATCGCCTTCTGACTGTTATCGTTCTAAAATCAGCAGACTCTTCCACGGCCTGGATTACGGATTTCCAGGATTGACCGGACGTTATCTTCCCAATGTGTAGATGCCTGGTTTTGTCGGGTTGAGTCAAGTCATCGTACCTTGTACGAGCAACCCCACTTTGGCGTACTCCATCTTCGACGCAGGTGCGATTGGTAAGACGGCATGTTTTAGCATTGTAGAAGGATGCTCTCCAGATATGATGTGCAATTTGGAGGCAGGTTCGGCAGCCTCTAGCGAAGGATTGCAGAAAACCCGGCCGTAATCAGCTGGGGGATAAGCTGCTGAAGTCAGATTGGAATAGAGTGCTGGTCTCTCTGAGCCTGGGCCACCTGCTCGACAGCCGTATGTTGCCATGCAATGGGTTATCCATGCTCACGCCTCGGCTACACGACGAGGTTTGCCGAACTGATACTGAATCAAAACCAAGTGCTTCGTTGGAGAGAGGATAGACGGGATTCGCAGGTGGCGCGCCAATGATCATAAGACAAGCTGGCATTCAATTACCTGCTCAGATGCTGCTGAAATCTGCCCGGTGGGTATTTTAGTAAATGTTCCAGACCCATCCCCGCATCAGCTCTTGTGTTAGGTATCCTTGCTGATCAAGCCAAGAACAGCACAGTGGTGAGCCGGAGTGAAGCGATTCGAAGGATTACAACAACTCCCCTCTTCAGCTGCGTATCAACCTGATTCCGTCGGGCTGCGAAGTGTATGTGTTTGAAGGCGCGCCGCTGCCTTCCTCAAACTCTTTTCTTGCAAGGATCTTGAATAGAGAAATCCTGACATGTGGTTGTCGAGGTCCTCGTAGGTGGTGTAGTTGAAATAGTGACAAATGTTCAATGCTCGCTCCATGAAGAAATTTTCATCAGTGAGACCTGCTGACGACCAGCATCCCGTCAACGCAGCCCAAAGGACAAATCCCGATTGTAGCTCGCAGAAAGGATCCAGACGCGAATTGGGCACCACTGGTATACAATCCTCTGTCCAACCGATGGCAGGGCACCAATACTTCAGTGCATATTGGATGGCGCCTTTTAGTCGCCGGACGTTGCTCTTTGCTGTTTGGAAGCCAATTAGTGTGCAAGCATGCGTCATCAAGATCATCAAACATAGCCGCACCACCTCGGTGCATTTGCACATGAGATCCATGGGCCCGACGTTGTGCTCTGGGGCGATAGCGAGCAACGCGCGGAGGACTGCTCTGGCTTTCCTGCAGAGCCATTCCGCATCGAAGCATACGGCTAAAGGGGAGAGCCACACGACCTTTGCAATCTCGATACAGTCGATCAAGTCCGCCACGACACGGCCGATAGCTCCAGGAAATGCGCCCACCTTCAGAGCCTGGATAAATTGGGATCCCATTCGTATGTCGAGAGTCGCAGCGAGGTCGGCAATCGCATCCGTCAGCCCCATGGAGCCACTCGGTCCCCGAGGCACAACCAGGGCGGTGGGTTTCGGATAGCCGTAATACTTCAGGTTGTGCGCTTCTCTTCGGAGGATTGCCATTCTTTCAGGCAGCATTGGTCCGGGATCGAAGGTACTGGGTAGAACGGGCCGTCTGGCTGTTGACAAGGCCAGTTGATTGTCGACGTGAGCAGCGGTCTCGGAGATCCAGCGATCGAGATGCTCATTGGTGTCGAGCAAATGTAGCAGCTTACCCACAATACTCAGGTGCTTCCTGACATCCTCATACCGGCCGTACTGCATCTCATTGACGCAGAGAAACAGGATATCTAGGATGGTCTGCTTGTCCACATCGCCTGAGCGGGAACAGCGAATCAGCTCCTTTCGCAGGTACTTCGCAGCTTGGGTTCGGACGGCTTCCGGATCGTCGCCTGTCGGCGAGACGACAAAAACGTGCTTCATCCGAGCCAGCATGGCCGCCATCAGGGAGTACAGGTGATGTTCCTTGTACACGGCGCGCTGTACGACCGTTCCAATCGGAAACTGGGTGATCGTCGATCTCACATGAGTTGGCAGAAACGCGAGCTTGTAATTGTTGCCTGCGTAGGGGTAGATCCGAAGCGTGTACTGCAACACCGTGTGTATTTTGGGAGTGATTCGCACTGGAGTGCTGCCGAAAGGATCAATGCAGTCGTAAGCAGTGAAGTTTGCCCTGTAGACGGGTGACGACAATTCCAGGGCTCCATTCTCGTCTTCCTGTACACATTGGTCACGGTCTGAATCCGCGTAGCCAAAGCCGGCCAAGTCTCGCACCGAGAGCGGTCTGCGTGGCAAAGCATGGACATTCAACGGCAGTTCAGCAGATGAGTCGATGACGGGCGAGAAGATTTGACGTGCCGGTATTGAAGTCTGCGGAGGTGATGCCGTCGATTCCTCGTTCGGCGAGGACACCGGCGAGGACTCATCGCTACCAGAACTAGACGTGTGTCAGTCTAGCTTGGCCGCGTGGCAACGGGGTCGAATGTTTCGCCGGTGTGAGGCGAACACGGTCGTGTTGACTTACCCGGACCCGTTGTCTTTCCTATTCCATCCATCCAACGCTATCCGACGTGCTGAGGAAGAATTGGTACGTGCCGAAGTCACCTTCTGGGCCTCGAGCTTGCGAGTCCGGAAGTGTTGGGCGTGGCGGTTGATCTGCTTGGCAACCGCGCCATCGCTTTTCGACAGAGATTTGGACTTGGACGTCTTGTTCACGAAGAGGAAAACTTGCCCGTCTGCAGGAGTGGTCCGGTCGCGTGGCTTCTTCATTGTTCAGCCAAGTATAAATTGAACATGTCAGGCAAAGTGAAAGCGGCGTAACGGCAGTCCGCGCGATGCTCAGGCGGAGGCACAGAGGAAGGTGTCGGGTTCTCAAGGCGAATTGGGCCAGTTGCGACTTTGACAATCTCCAAAAATTGGGTTCGCGCTGGAAGATGATATTTGTTATCGACTGGAGTTGCGGCAGTACGAAATGGCGAAGACGGCCGTTCCGCCCCAGATTGCAGAGCCAAGAATAACCAGGAAAGGAAGAGAGAAGACAAGAAGGATGGAGGTGATGCGAATAAAAGCGTGGAAGTTGCTGACCGGCGAGAGGGTTGCGGCAGGAAAGATGGTCAAACGAATGATACGGACGTGAGCCGACTGGACCTAGGCATACGAATGCGAGAAGACTTCACAGTGAAGTGGTGAAGAGGTGAACATCACGTCAGTTGGAATCGAGGAGAAAACTCAAAAGTTTCGTTGCCACAAAACGGCTCGAACTTACCAGGGAGTGAACCATGCGCCGCGGCCCCGGAGCAGGCGCACGAGGCAGCAACGGGGCTGCTAAGGGACAATTCGGAGGGGCCCTTTAGGCTTCGCGTGCCCGTTTCGGCTCATTCGGGCAATTGGCTCTGACTCTGCAAGGCTCTTCGGGGAAGCTGGAGTCAGGCTCGTCGCAACCTTCCATCCTTCGTGTCTCGGCGACGTCGCTTGTCTTCTTAAATCCGAGGTAATGACTCCGTACCTCGTACACAACTCCAACTACCTCGACGCGACGTCGATACCGCCCAGCACTGCATGTTGATGACCAATTGCATAGAGGTAGAGCGACAGGACGAAGTGGGGTGCAGAGAGAGGTAAGAAATGAGAGTTGGGGCTTCAAGTGAGTCAGTCGTCACCCGTCACTGGCTACTGGTCGATGGTCAGGGACATGTCAGATGAGAGAGAACAAATCTTGTCTTGCGCACGAAACCAGGACGTGGCCACCGACTACCCAGTCCGTCCAAGTCCAGAGTTAAGAGTTAAGAGTCAAACCGTCCTCTTGGTTCGGGGACTGGGGTTTCCCTGTCCTTACTGCTGCTGACTACACAGTACTCGTACAGGTGTCTCCCCTTGTCTGCGTCTTGGTTCGGTGCTGATGCTTGGCCACCGGTTTGTGGTGCTCGCGTTGTCTTGCCCTGGGCCATGACTAATGGTGGAAGCTGTCACGTTTTGGTTGGTGGTCGCTCACAATCCACAGCTGCCGGACGGCAAATGTCATCCGAACAAGACTTGGATTTTCGAACCACTGATTCTATAATCCAAGCTTCTAACTACACCGGGTGGCATGGTGATGAACATGCAGAACATCCTCGAACAGACCTCTTGTGTTCAACTGTTAGTGGAAGACGGCAAGACGGCATTTGCGGCACATATCGAAATCTGAATAAGCGATATGGACCCAGGGGCCCCGCTCGGCCTCCCACGCCCAAAGAGTATTGTGGGCACTGCGCTTAGTCGAGACTGCTCAGAAAGCAGTCAGGGTTGATCAAATTATGTGTAGAGGCTACTCCGTGCTTCCAACAGCTTGCATGATTTCAACACAGTACCGCGTACGAGTACGCTCGACAAGGACTCAGTAGCTCTGATGGTGGATGCATGTACTCCGTACGTACGGAGCACTCGGAATGGAAGCGCAGGGAATAACCTTAAGTGATAAGCGCGCAGCGTCGATCAAACAGGATGTGCCTCCTCGCTCCAACCCCAGGCTCCGCCGAGACGTGCCATTCCCCTTCTTCCAGCTGGCACGAGCACCGCCTCCGATGAAGCCCAGGAGCGTCTGCGGCTTGGGCCAGTCGGTTTGTGCAGCGGGACCAAGAGGCCAAGTCCACAGATATCCCAGCCACGGGAGATGGGCGGCGAATCAGGCAGGGAGATAGTGGTCGTGCAAACTGTGATCACCATTGCTATCGATAGGATAGGAAAGGGACGCAACTCGGACGAGTAATAGGGGATCGCCTGTACCGAGTACTCCGTACGAGGTACCTCTAACTGGTACTCTGTACGACGTACGAGTTAGTACCCGTGCTCCGAGTATGCACCTGTCGATCGCCATGCGATGCCACATCCGGGCATCCGCGAGACCTGTGAAATGAGGGGCGCCGATCTTCTTAGAGGGTCTCAACGGTTTGGAACGAACAAGCTCGGTGTGGCTGGTGATACCGTCCACTGCGATCTGCATCCGAATCCAGGGAAGCATTATCGCCATACAACGAGTGGGAGCACCTTTCAGTTTGCCTGTCGAACAAACCCTCCGTCGTTTTCTGGATCCCAGACTAGAGGTTACAACGTGGATGACTGTGCGAGGTATAGGGAACTGAAAGTACCGAAGCGGTATTCATGACATGTATATCTGCACCTGTAAAAATAATACATTCTGCCAGTGCTGTGTATCTCTGCTGCCCCATCGGCCGGACAAGGACGCGGTGTGACTGGCCAATCTGATCGACAGCTCTGTGCGAAGCATTAGCAAACGGTATCGATTCGGTGATGCTGCTAGCTTATTGGACAAAGCTGCGACGACGACGACTTCGAACGGCCCATTGTCTGGCAAAAGGCACTGTCTGTCCTTTAGGAGGAATGAACCTGGGCGTCGCCTAGGGCACCCGCAGGTTTGTACACCCATTCCAGCACAGAATGGCATCTAGGATCATGCGTTGCCCTGAGTTGTCCTTGCCTGAAGCTTGCAAAGACCAAATCCGGCTCCACGGACTCGAACAAGTCTTTGAATTCGCTCAGTTCCCGTACCTTTCCCTTCATCAATGTGTACATGACATTGTCGAGTCTGCGGGTAGCGAGCTCCGCATAGCTTGGCGCCGTACCGATGGGAGGCATCACGTACTCAATGCAAATGACTCGAGCCCCAGGTCGAAGAGCGGGACGCAGCGCCTGAAGAATGCGACGGGCCCCAGCATCAGACCAGTTGTGGAAGACCATGCGGAAGAGATATACATCCGCCACCACTGGCTGCGTTTCGAGAAATGAATGTGCCTGGAAGCTGATTGAGTCATGCGGGAAGTTGGGATCCTGTGCCGTAGCCTTGATGGCTGAGTCGACGACTTTCGGAAGGTCCTGCACGATACACCTGATGGTAGGCTCCTTGCGGACGATGGCTGCAGCAACGGAGCCAAAGGAACCCCCACACTGAGAAGGTTTAGTCGGTGACACATGCAGATGTTTTGCGCGGGTTCTTGACTTACATCGACTATGGTCTTTCCCTTCAACCCGCCCCAGTCGTAGCATTCCTGAATAGCCGAGTCACCGTACTGCGCAGCTTGAGCCCGCATGTGGGCAGCAAAGCTCCGACCTTCGGCTGGATGCGTTTCCAAGTACAAGTAGAGCGGCTGCTGACGTGCAAGGCTGAACCCACAGACTTCCTGCTTCTCGTCCATTGGATCTTGGGTACACACATCGCCTAGTTTGAAGGATGACGACGGCAGATGATCGAGCATGACCTCCATCCCAGTAGCTGCCAAAGGATCGAGTTGCCAAATAAGTGAGTTGTCGCTATGTTTAACCTGACCGTCTTCTGTCTCGGCAAGGAAGTTGGAGCACACGGCTGCAATTCGGATCAGGTGTTTGAGGCGGTCCTCGGACACGCCAACTTTCTTCGATAGGTCTGCATACGAGATCGAGCCATACAAGGGGACGTATCGTGGGACTTGCAGCTGACAAAGAGCCTGGATTACGCCAGCTTCCGCCGTCTATGATCGTGTTAACGACGATGCTGGATCATGTGCGGGAACCCATAATAACTGACCTTGTAGTAGAAGCTCTGCATGGTATCCTTCGGCCCGAGAACGAGTTGCTCGAGGGTGCGTATGGCAGCGAGGAGCTGATTTCTGGCTTCCTCACCTTGCGGATCCAATGGGGGAATGGTGGTTCGGCGGCTATCGCACGATGAGAGAGCGTGCTCCTTGCCTTCATGCCATGACCGGCTCAAGGTTTGTGCTTGCGTGCTCACCGCCTGAGCAAGAGTTTCGAGTTGACACATGATGAAGGCGGTTGGCTCCGTGTAATGATATACTTGGCCTGGACCAACGGGAGCCAGTATTCAGGTGTGAAGGTCGGCTGAAACAAGGCTCAGTCCAAAGGTGTGGAAAGGTTTCCTCGAGCTGCACTTGCCTTATAAGCCTCAGCTATCGTAGTGATCGAAGACGAGGAAGGCGTGCATACTCTAAGGAACCGGTCCCCAAGGCATACACAGTCTGCTGTTATCAGGGTGGCACACTGGCCGGATGTTCTGTCGAGAATGGCATCCTTGGTTCCACACCTCCTCCAACGAAGTCGCTTGTTGCTTGCGACATCATATCCGCTACAGGAACTGTGGCTTTCCAAGTGAGGAGAGTGTCCCTTTCCGATGCCACGGGGAGAGACATACAAGCCGTGGCACAAGGGAAGGCACAGACGCTGACTTGGCTGCAGATCGGAAAATGATTCATCGAAGTCACATTGGCTGCAGCAGAAAGTAATGAATCATATGTCCGCCGTCCTCTGCTATGAGGATAGGTTTCCTGAGAAAGTCATCAGGGGTGTTTGTCCGTAGAGGCCTGGGCGACGCTTTGGCGGATGCATCATTATCGCACGTGGAGGAGGATGGGTTGCACTCTCACACACCATGCTGCTGAATCTGAACTCATCAGTTTTCGCTTAAATGCCCAGGCGGGAAATTCGGGGATTCTGCCCTCTCCTTCCTCGCTTTGTCATGGTGAAGCAGTCTTGATGATGCATCGACAGACGACAGAGAAATACATGGTGAAGCTTCCACGACCGTTATCCGAATCCGAAATCACCGTTGCACACGTCATGCAACCAATGGATCTGCATGAAGCGAGCATCCCGTCACTGAGGCTACTAAAGAGACAGATCGAAAGACACCAAGGCGGCTCACTTCACAGTCAGCTCTGAGCGGCTGCTTGTCCTCAACGCATCACTCTTTCTACAGCCGGGTACATAAGCCCAATGATTCAAGACAGCTGCCTGATCACGGGTTAGCCACCTCCAGCTCGTATCCAAAGGGATCGGTTTGGGCATCTTCAGCAAGACCAGGGGATTTGAGCAGCACAGAGGCCTACACAGACTAGGAGGAAAGGTTTTCTGTATTGATTGGTGACCAAGCACAAATACAAATCAGCAAAAGCCTCCAAAACCTCCTCACGTCTCGTAGGTGTCCTTGTACTTCGGATCCACCACAATCCATCGAGTCTCCGCGTGGTATGTTCGTCTTCCCACTGGTTATGCTTGGACCTTTATCGATAAAATGAGGTACGAAAACGCCAGGTGTAACAAAATATGAGGTTGCATCCGGTCAATACATCCATCGTGGCTCTCGGCGGCGGCGTGTCGCATGTAGGTTTCGTCTCGCTCTGTCGGGCTTACGGCTTTAAATCTCACCGAACGTGTTTTCGCCCGAGTATCTGTTCACTTATCAGTACGAAAATCAGGACATTTTCGTTTCGGTGCAACCGTACGTGATATACAGGAATCCGTCCTCGTCCTTGTGTTCCTCGTAGATACTGCTCATCAGGGCGGCGGTCGGAGGGAGGACCTCGTCGACGAAGATGAAGATGGCCTTTTCGGGGCTGAGCTTGATGCGCTTGCGAATGACATAGACGAATTGGCCGACGGTCAAATCTGCAGGGACGAGATACTTCTTCTTGTCGATAGTAGCGATGTCAGATTTCTCGACCTTTTCGCAGATGACCTATGCCTCCTAGTCAGTTGGAGCCCTGGAGAGACCGAGGCGTAGTACGAATCAACATACCGGGATGCGATCGGCGTACTTCTGGCGAATGCGTTCGGCTTCTGCCTTGCGCTTCTCGAAGGGGTGCTCGTCCTTGAACTTGGAACGCATGATGACGGATGGATTTGATGTTTGAGGGTACCAGTCGAAGGTCAGATAGAATTGTCGGCGCTTGTGGTCTGTGGGTGGCTTTGAGGGTGGATGGTTGAATAATAAATGAGGGCAAGTTGGTTGATCGGTGAATGAGGTCCCAAGTTCAGGTCCAGGTGCAGCAGGCAGAACTCGAGTGGGTGGCAGTGGCCGGTGCGACTAGTTAGGTAGGCCACAGCAGCACCAAAAGTTGGAGTTACAGGCCCGCACAGACTGATAGATTGCCCCGCGCAACCAGCGTCACAAGGCCTCAGCTGCCACTCAATTTCGAGTCACTTGTTGTTTGAATCACGGGATGTTATGAGCTGACTACTTTGAACTCGCCACGAGGCTTGATCTTAAATAAGACAAATGAGTCACGTCATTCGTTCCGTGAGCAGCAGAAGGAGGTCCTGGTGCTAAGGCGCGTCTCTCTTTGTGTGTTGCTTTGTTGACTCACCAGGGAAATGGCCTAGCAGATGCAAGTGACATCTGAATGCCACTATTAGTTCAGACGCAGTTCTCCATACACATGACACCAAATGTAAATATTGTCACGTGCAAGCTGTGACTGAATGCATCTCACCTCACACACCGTGGTTTGGCTTTTTGGCTCACTGGCTCTCAGGTCGGGGTCTCAGGCTTGATGGAGGCTCACTTGCCCGTTGTCGGTAGTAATTGCTGGATTGCTGGCTGGTCGACCACACTGGCAGCGATAGATGCGCGAGCTTCGTCATCTGATAGTGGAGAAATACGATCGAGCTCCAACTCCCAGAAAAACAGAATAGCCGCAATAGTGTCTTCCCATATACCTCTGCTGCCAGTGGGCTGACTGTGGAGATGAGTATCAGATCTTCTCCCGCATGAGGCGCGTGTACAGTCAAAAGCCCTCCCATTCCTTTTTATATGAATCTTTGAGCGACTCGAGCTGCATCTTCCTTGCACACCTACCTCGCCATCCGGGTCACATCTGAGTTCATCATGTCTACATCAAGATCGGCGTGGAGCGCCTTCCGAGCCTCGCATAGCTCATTCTCGAGATCAGTGCCTAGCAGAAGAGTCTGTCCGTCCTGCCTACGCTCCTGCTATTCGACTGGCGTGTCACGAAATGCGTCGGGTCGTTTGCAAGTCGATAAACAGAAGCAAGGATGGCTTTACCTCCAGCTCTCCCTGGGGAGTCTCTTTGTCGGGACCCTCATCTACAACATGACTTCTGGGAAGACCATTACCAATGACTCGCCGCCTATCCAGCCTATTTCGCTGGCACAAGTCGACGAGTATACCAAGAGCAAGGAGAAAATAACTCGCAAATCTCCCATGCGACTGCGAATGGAGGCTCTGATAAAAGAACACCAGAATCGGATCGTCTTCGCCCTAGAAAACATAGACGGAAAGAAGTTCAGACGGGACGAATGGACGAGGCCAGCAGGAGGCAGCGGAATTTCCTGTGTTCTGCAGGATGGCAATGTCTTTGAAAAGGCTGGAGTGAACATCAGTGTCGTCTATGGCGAGCTGTCCCGTCCTGCCATCGAGAAGATGAGGGCAGACCACAAGTCCTTTGTAGCGTCTGATGTCGAAAAACTGAATTTCTTTGCAGCCGGCATTTCCTTGGTGCTGCACCCTCACAATCCTATGGCTCCAACAGTCCACATGAACTATCGCTATTTCGAGACGTCTGATCCCAGAGACCCGGTCAATGCAACCGGAACATCGCAACAAAATTGGTGGTTCGGGGGAGGCACGGACTTGACACCATGCTATCTATTTGAAGAAGATGCACAACACTTCCACAAGACCATCAAATCCGCCTGTGACAAGCATGACAAGGACTACTATCCTAGGTTCAAGAAGTGGTGCGACAGCTACTTCAGGATACCGCACAGAAATGAATCAAGAGGAATTGGCGGCATCTTTTTCGACGACCTCGAGGCATCTTCGCGGCCCAGCTCTCGCAATCCCCAGGAGGAGCTCTTCCAATTCGTCGTCAGTGGCCTCGAGTCATTCCTGCCCTCATACCTTCCCATAATCAAGAGGAGAATGAACATGCCGTACCTGCCGGAACAGAAAGAGTGGCAGCAGGTTCGCAGAGGCAGATATGTCGAATTCAACCTCATCAACGACCGTGGCACGAGTTTCGGGCTGCGGACTCCAGGCGCTCGAGTTGAGAGCATCCTAATGAGTTTGCCGTTGACGGCACGCTGGGAATACATGAGTAAGTTGTCCTACCAATGCCAAAGTCGGTTCGATAGCTTCAGGAAGCTTTATCGCCCATTTTCCCTCAACATGCTAATAAGGATGGGTAGATCCTGTGTGTGGCACTGGAGTCTCTCGTGAATCCGACAACGCAGACGATGAGCGCTATGAAGAGGAGAGGAAAATGATGGAAGTCCTCAAGTACCCCAAGGAATGGCTGTGAGCGAGCAAACTCGTAGCGTTGGTAAGGGAATGTTGCTACAACGCAGCCAGGCCCGGGGCCTACACCTTTCAGACTCAAGCCCAATCGGAATAGCATCCTCAGGCTCGCACCTTCTTTGATCGAGCAGCCACGATACTGCTACAACGAATCCAGCAACTTGTGGACACGGATCTCAACGGTGGTCAAACTCTCGCCGTACGCCGCAGACTGTCGCTCAACTCCACACCGCTTCAGCTATGAGTATACACGCCAGATCTAGGAGCTGTTAGGCCCCGGACCGTGCTTCATGACAACCCTAGCCATGCCTGGACATTATATCCTCGTGGAATGACTTTTGTTTACCACACCGCTCAATCAACCAAGATAGTGACACATAGAGAGGAGGCAGCCATCCTCGAGTACCGCAAGATTTGAGATCCTGGTACCTCGTACTAGGACGTGATCGGCCATTGGCCGCTGTCCGCAGGCATATACTCCCAGTCTCAGTTGGTTCCCTAGTCTTCTCTAGGTACCTCCGACCTTCCCTCTCTCCTACCGTGTCAACGCGGCTCATACTCGTACACAGGTTACTTGCGGAATATCGGCTGATGTCTTCGTACATACAGTAGCCGGCAGAGTCTCGCTTACTGTGACGATGTGGGGAGTTCCTTGCAGCGTGCGCCATGTGATAGGTGCCCATTCATTGGCGCTGACATGAACCCCAAGGCTTCGACTATCGGAGTGCGGCCAGCATACTTCAACACCTTACGGCTTTCAGCTCGCAACGGAAGCCGAAACTCAAGAGGTTCCGGGCTCCTGTCATCTCGGTGGATCTCAGCCTCCATCTGTTGGGGTCCAAAGAGTCCAGGAGTCGAGAGCCTTGAGGTCTGCGAGAGCCACATAGTAGTGCTTGCCGCGGGTTTCATGCTGTGAGCGGCTGATCGGTTGGCCCCTCCATACTTCGCGTGGCCAGGCGGAGCGTTGCCCGTCGGACATGCTACATGCTACATGTCTGACCGCCTCAGTGTCTCGGTATATTGCCATCTTTTCTGGCCGATGAGACCGCAACAGTTTGCAGTGCGCTTATCCTCGAAGCGCTAAACACCTGGTTTATGTGAGTGTAGACTTCAGCCTGCACGGTGAGCAACACTGCCGACTCCGGGGGTAACTGGGTCCCCATGGCATGGGTCCAAGGCGCATTCAGATCTACGCTGCCGCCCTCAAACCGTGGGCAATGAACGACTAGTCTCTTGAAATACGGGCTGCGAGCCTAAGCCCTTGTCGCTGAAAGCGCGCACGCTTTTGAAAGCTTGCATATGCCTCCAGTCCGTTGTAAATACGGCCATAACGGGCTAGTCTGGTCACTTTGGCCCATCTGACTGCTTCACAATGGAGGCCGAATAGTGGCCCGACGCTTAGTTGTCAGCTCGTGTCCATGTCCGCCAGTATAAATCCAATGCAGCGGCCACGAGCGTCGTACAGACTCTCCCCTCCTTGTTACAGAACCCTTCGACGTGCCCTTGCCCTCATTCTTCTCGACGATGAGGACAGCATTCGCGGCCGCCCTGACGGGCGCTGCATTGGTGGGCAGCAGTTTGGCTGATCACCCAGGCCCTCTTGGCAGATGGATGGGAGTAAGCGTGCGATTCAGACGGACACAGGGCTTCCCACTGACATTCCCAGGGTGGTGATTGCCCATGGGGAGACAAAACTGCTTCTGGATCTCATCCCGCGACGGATATGCCAGACACTGGTTGGTAGCTTGCGATAGGGCAGTGGAGAGGCAAGGCTGAGACCCGTGCAGGTGTGACCAGATACTACGACTTCACTGTCTCCCGCAACACCCTTGCCCCTGACGGAGTGCAACAAGCAGTCATCGTTGTCAATGGGCAGTATCCCGTGCGTAGTCCCAGCTGTCTTCACGCCTGGCGGTCTTGGTATGGAGCTAACGCGGTCACCAGGGTCCTCTGATCGAGGCAAACTGGGGTGACTGGTAGGTTCACAACGGGCAGTATGTATGGCCGACTTGAGCTGACTGTGAACCAGGATTGAGGTGAACGTCCACAACCAGATCTATGGGCCGGAAGAACCGACTTCGATCCACTGGCACGGTCTGAACCAACCCGGCACACCTTATTACGATGGTGTTGTCACCGTCTCCCAGTGCCCGATCGTCCCTGGCGGCAATTTGACGTACAGATTCCGAGCTGATGAGTACGGGACGACGTGGTACCACGCCCATTACTCCGCCCAATACTCTTCAGGTGTTCTCGGGCCCATCGTCGTCCATGGCCCCAACGATGCTGAGTACGACATTGACCTCGGTCCCATCCTGGTCACAGATTGGTTCCATGACTCGTACGAAGACATTGTCAGCCTCGTCATGTCCCCCAGTGAAAGTGGACAACCGTTCCGACCGTTCTCAGACTCCAACCTCGTTGGAGGTGCCGGTCAATATCCTTGTGCGAATGTTACCAATGGCGCCCCTTGCTCGGTCGTCCCATATGCGTCGTGGGAATTCCAGCCCGGGAAGACGCACCGCCTGCGCTTTGTCAATACCGGTGCCTCGGCGTTCGAGTCGATCTCGATTGACGGCCACACGATGACGGTGATTGCGAACGACATGGTTCCCGTCCAGCCTTACGAGACGCAGTCCATCACCATCGGTGTGGGTCAGCGGACCGACGTGCTTGTTACCGCAAATCAAGCCCCGGGCACTTACTGGCTGCGCGCGTTCAACACGCCCTGCGGAGACAGCAACGGGCCTGACGGACGCGGCATCATCTACTACAGCGGTGCAGATGCCAGCCTGACCCCGACTTCGACAGCGAGCGCTCCAGGGGCGGTCAATTCCAACTGTCAAAACGACCCCCTGACCACGACCATCCCGCAGTATGCGATCCCGGTCGCCGAGGCCGACACGACCATCACCATCACGGTTGCCGGAGCGCCTGACGAGACGGGCGTCTTCCACTGGACCATGAACGGCGTGTCCTACGACGGCGACCTCGCGAACCCTCTCCTCACGCAAGCCGTGGCCGGCCAAACCAATTTCGACGCCCGCTACAACGTCATCAACACCGGCGCCGTCGCCAACGTGCGCATCATCATCATCAACCTGACGCCGGCCCCGCACCCGATGCACATGCACGGGCACGACTTCCAGGTCCTGGCCGAAGGCTTCGGCACCTGGGACGGCACCATCACGAACCCGCAGAACCCGCAGCGCCGAGACGTGCAGATGCTCTGGGCAGGCGCCTCGCCCGACAACCCGTCCTACATCGTGCTGCAGTACACGCAGGACAACCCGGGCCTGTGGCCCCTGCACTGCCACCTCGCGTGGCACCTCTCGGCCGGCATGGTGGTCATGCTGCTCGAACACCCGGAGCAGCTGTCATCGATCCAGATCCCCGAGAATATCGCGCAGACGTGCCCGACGTACTCGGCCTGGTACGCGGCCAACCCGGGCGTCGCGGTCGAGGACGGTCTCCGGAAGCGCACGCTCGGCGAGAAAATGGTCGACTACGTGAAGGGCGCCGACCACGCCGACCACGCCGCCGCCCACCTGGACAAGCACGCCAAGCGCGGCGTGCGCGGCTACCGCGGCTACGGCCACGACGCCACCTTTGAGGATTTCCCCGCCCACGGCAAGTTCAAGGGCAGTGCCACGCAGGGAGCCGGTGCGTTTGGCACGGGCAAGCCCAGTGGAAGTGAGGGCGAGGGTTGGTCGACCAAGACGCACTCGGGTAGCGGCAGTGAGAAGGCCGCAAAGTCGGCGACCAGCAAGTGGCAGACCCACTCGCGGCCGAGCAGCGTGCAGAGCAACCTGGCGAAGAGCTCGACCACGGGCAAGAAGACGGAGCGGAAGAGGGACGAGGTGTGAGTGAAGTAGGTGTGCGTGTCGCGCGGCGTGATGATGGACGCTTTCGAAACAGCTTATTACTCGGTGCGTGGTGTTGTGATGCGAGGTGGACGGTACAAGGAAAAGTGCCAGCATTTCTGGCGGTCATGTCACTTTGAGGAAACGGTATGCAACACGATTTTGTATGACAACCCCGTGCGTGCATCCATGCAGGCTAATGCAGGCGTTGATGTCGATGTCGACGTTGATGCAGACATCGATCCTGATACCGATAGAACGCCGAGTGCGGTGATGGGAGGACGTGAGACCGACCGTCTCCTCTCCGACTGCCCTCTGTATTTCCATTCACCTCTCATTCTCCCTTGTAGGACCTACTTCACATTGCATCTCGGGGTGGAGATGGCGATCTTCCGCCTCAGCCTCAACCCAGCTCAACTCGATACTTTTGAGAGACAAGAAGGAGGACAGCACGCCCAGTGATGATCCAGTTAATTAACCGTATCCTGCTCCGGCTGCCGTCTCAAATGACAGCTACACCCCCCCTTCCAAACGTACCTCATCTCTCACCAGTAGCGCCTTGACCTCCGTTCCTGCCCTGCCCGTCGCCTCTCGCGTCGAAATATCTGCTTCTCAATGCCTGTCCGATCCCACTTGTCACTCTCCCTCCAAAGCCGCCTAGATTCGTCATCGTTGTGTTCCCCATCCCACTGAGTAATGCCTCTTCGAGAGCCGATTGCGTCACACTTGTGTCGTCGAGGTCCGAAAACGACGAGCCCATGCTAGGAGACGCGCTGTCGGAACTGGGGCCGCGGCGAGGCGAGGCTGTGGCGGAAGGTTGGTTGGAGTGGAGAAGGGCGCGGTGGGAAGGGGAGAGGGGTGTGCCGAGCCGGGGAACCGTAGATTGTTGTTGTGGGAGACGAGAAGCGAGAGGCTGGACATCACCTCTGCTGGAGGGACGGGCCGCAGTCGTGGTTGGGCCAGTAGCCTGAGTAGGCGAGGAGAGCGATGAGGTTGAAGAGGCCAGGTCGCGAGTGTCGCGCTGGGCTTGGACTGGTGTTGGTGGCTCGACGGTCGGGGAAGAAACAACGCGTTCAGATGTGGTACGACGCTGTACGGTCGGCCGCAAAGCACCTCGAAGAGTCGCGCTGGGATCTTGCTGAGAGGAGGATGATGGACGAGGCTTGCTCTCGGCGGGAGGATTCGCAAACGGCAGGAAGGATGGCTCGTCGTCGTCGTCGTCGTCGTCATCTCCATCTTCACCGACTGGAGATTGGTGTCGAGGAGCCCCGTCATCTGGGCTGGTTGCGGGTCCTCGCTGCGCCTGCATGTTATTCCCACGATGTGAGAGGGCTCGGCGATGCAGAGACGATGGATTCGGACGGCGGGCTGTGATGCGAGACTGTGTCATTTCCTCCTCAGAATCCGACGATTCCGGCTGGGTGTTACGTGTTTGGCCTGGCGATCGAGCAAGTTGTTGCTGAATGCTGCCTCTCCGAGAATGTGAAGCAGGAACTGGCACGTCGACGTCTCTGGATGACTGTCTCGACAGCGGCCTCGAAGTTCCAGAAACGTTTCGCGCCTGCTGAGCCACACCAGCTCCAGCGATAGCAGGAGCGGTACGGAGCGGGAGAGATGTCCTGCTCTTAACAGGTGTCCCTGGCGTACTGTCTACTCCACCCATGACAGGGCTTCCAACGTGCTGCATTGATAAGCGAGAAGGCACCCGTGAGCCGCCGCTCCCAGCTCTCCTCATCGCCTGGCCTCCCACCATGCTGCCCGAGAGCGATCCCGGTGTAGGAGAAGGCGTGGCAGAATTCCTATTTCCTACTCGACGCATCTGAGCTCGCACCTGGGATAATTGTCGCTCGTAGAGCCATGCGGCTTTCTGGAGGAGGAAAGGCTGAGTCACTTCGAATCTCTCGGCGAGAGCCCTCCAGTCGATTTGGTTGTTGGTTTGACGAGACAGAATGTCCCATAGTGCACGCTCTTTTGCAGCGGACCAATTTACAGGAGGCGGGTCGACGAAATCGCCACGATTGAATGGCAGGCGGACGAAGACAGTGAAGTGGTTCTCGACCTCGGGCGAAGCCATGGCGGTGGTGTAACTGGCCGAGGACAGGTCGCTCTCGACAAGCGATCCTCCTGCCTATCAGAGGAATTAGCAGTTGCACGACGAAGCAGCGTGCTGGATGATGATGAAGGACGATGTCTGGGATGGGAAATCATAAAAGGACGTTGTCGACACCAGAGGCGCCATTGGTGCCATGTCGATGTGTGGCTGAAATATGTGGCGCAATGGCAATGACGCAATGGCGCCACACTTGGTCCGGGCGTTCAGGAGAATAACTGACCTCGTTGACCTCTCTTTGCTCCTCTTCCTCCTCCCTCGCCATCTGTGATACCACCAACGATTCTTCTGAGATGGCCAATGGTTCCCCGTGGGACTCTTGTGTGATGGAGTCGTCCAAGCTGCTTGAGGACTCATCGATGGACTCATACCACCAGGCCGGCTTCTCTACAATATGTGGTTGACCCCAGACATGGCAACCCTCACAGCGTTGCTCCTCCTGTGTCTCGGTTCCTGGCATCTTTTGCTGAGACGTCATGGCGACGTTCTGTCTCTGGGTTTGAAATGAATATGATTGACTGTCGTCTGCAAGCTTCAGACCGTTGTCAGTGTCCTGTCGACGGCAACAATGGCTTCAATGGTGGTACAGACCTTGGTGTTTGCAGCAGCGTCCGCTTCTACAGGTGATGTTTCTGGATGGCGCAAGGATCTTACGATCTGTTGGAGATGAAGAAGGAATGAAGGATGTTCTAAATGCCCAAAGACCTCACTACTGGTGTTGCGACGGGATTGGTCGGCGCCGTCGACGAACGACTAAGCGATGATGTCGCTGGTTACAGATCTGTCTCTCGAGACGCTGGAATTACAACAACTTATTCCTGAAGACTCTGCTCTTGTTCAGAAGCTTCGTGCACCACTGAATCTCATCACGATCTCTCTACAGAAGACGTAGACCTTCCACTCCGACTTCACACAGTGGACACGCGTGAATGCCCTCGCCAGCGAACAGTGCTTCGTTCTGTATGCAACGACCTCGCCATTCTGCCAGGATGAGGCAGATCACATTGCCAGAAGGAAAGGGGCTACGCTTGGGCTACCCGTCTAGGACACTGCTCTCAAGTTTGTACCGTACCCTCTTGACACCGACAACCCAGGAAGGTCAACCAGGAGACAACACGACTCTCCAGAAGTTTATCTTCGTCTTCAGGTCCTCCCCAGTCTGTCGAGCAACCCTCAAGAACAAACTCAGACATATCATCATCAGAGGTGCCTTCAAAGCCTGGAAACCTTCCGCTCCAGACACTCCGTCCTTTGTCGTCCTACGCGACCTGTTCTATCAAGACATCACCGCACCAGTGCTCGACGCACTGTCACAGCAATTCTTCAGCTCCTTCGAGACAGTCACGCCAACACCGCCAACCCTTGACGAACTCTACCGGCAATTCGACACGTGCACAATCTTTTGGTACGACGTGGTTCTAGACGCTTGACGCCTCCTCCAACGAAAACGACATGTGTTTCAAGTACAAGTGCGACGGCTGCAAGCGCGGAAAGTACGACTACTGCAGAGAATACCGGGAAAACTACGAAGGAGGACGCCGCTGGTGCAACGTCGAGGAGGAGCAGCCTTGGGGTCACAAGCTCAAGCGCTGCCACACCTGTATCACAGTCGTCGGCGCCATCAAGGAGCTGAACGCGCTGGTTTTCCGCGAGCCATGGCTCATTACCGAGGGCGTGGCAGGGGCGCCACAGAAAGAGGCCTGGGAGTTGGAGGGAGAGGATGGGGCGGGTGTTGAGGAGGAGGACGCGGGTTCCGACCCTCTTGACGGGCTGACAGCAGAGGAGAGAGCGAAGCGTCGTGATGCCGCCATGGAGGCTCTCATGCGTCGCTGGGGCTTGATGGCGGCGGAGCAAGCCGTGGAGACAGAGGCCAAGTAGGGCGATTGAAGAGACTGTCTACCCTGTGTACAAGGTGGCTGGATGACTAGACTATTTGTGTCCTGTTCTCGTGCTTTGGCAAAGGCGCCCTTAAAGAGCGCGTACGCTCTGTCGCGATATGCGACTGAATGAATCAAACTTCACGCCCTGTTTCTGGCGCCATTTGCCCTTGACTCGCCACCGTCCCAGAGCCTTCCAACTCCCCCATGTCACCGTGATGGCAATGGCGAGGATGTCAGGGAGGCGGCTATTCTTGTCGAAACCCTCCAGCACGTTAGATGCGCTCGTCAAGAGCAACTTTGCAGTGACCACCACCGGCGAGTCGCGTTGGGCGCGTTTAGCACGGCATACGTCACCTCCAAGCCTTGTCAAGCCAACTAATTAATCACTTGTAGCTACTGCAATCATCTGGGAAAGAAGCTCCTGATCTTCTACAGTATCACCAGCCTCAACAGCCACTTGTGATATTCCCCGGACGTCCACCAAGCATCAGACATGCCGTTCAAGAACCTCCTCTCCGACATCAAATCGCAGGTCAAAGACCTGCAGAAACAGGGCCAGCAGTTTCTCCAGCAGCAGCAATCTCCATCGCAGTCTCAATCTCAACCCCACCACTACCAGCAGCAGCAGCAGCAGCAGCAGCAACAGCAGCAACATTACCCAGCTCAGTACCAGCAACCTCCTCCCCTCCCGCAATCGACACATCCCAACTTCCAGGCCCAAGGAGGCCCGCCAGGTCAACAGCCCCTGCCCCCGCAGCCGAAAGTCTACTGGCAGCCGCGCTTCGATCCCGCCACGCCCATCAGCCAAGAATGGGAACACAAACTGGGCAACAACAACGGGTGGGGCAACAATGAGATGCAACATTATACCGCCGAGGGGAGCAATTCGTTCTAGTAAGTTTCATCTTGCATGTGAAGTAATTACGCACTGTGTGTATTCCCTGGCGATCGAAGCGTAGGCCTCATCGGACTGAATCCTGGCATGGACCGCGAGGGCGCTTGTTGAACGCCGACCTGGACCACCTGAGCCACCCTCCTGTATCACTTGGTGTTGTCCTACATGCTGTATCATCTGCACGTCTTCCCCTTCCCTGCCCCCAGTCGTCTAATTCTCGCCCATGTACTGTCCTACGGTAGACCAATACAGTACAGAACTCGCTCACACAAACTTACTCATCGCACAGCACGCCCAACCACCTCCTCGTCCTGCGCGCCATCTCCACGCCGTCCCAGCCCGACCCGGCCAAGAAATACACGTCGGCGCGGCTGGTGTCTCGCCAACGCCTCGGCCGCCCGAGCGGCAGTCTCGTCGCGAGCCTCAGCCTCCCCTGCGCGTCGGGCATCTGGCCGGCGTTCTGGCTGCTGCCGTACGAACCCTTCACGTGGCCGACGGACGGCGAGGTCGACGTCGCCGAGACCTGGAACGGCGACGCCGTCAACCACTCGTGCCTGCACTGGGGCTTCTACTCGCCCGAGGACAAGGCCAAGCACCGCGTCGTCGCCACCCCCGTGCACGGCATGCAGACGGGCCGGCCCGTGCGCTTCGAGTTCGCCTGGCACCAGGACGGCGCCGGGCCCAGCGGCCGCATGGTCTGGTGGATCGACGGCCAGGCCGTCATGAAGGCGCCCATCCCTCACGACATGAATAGGCCGCTGGCGGATTTCGTCGTGTTGCTCAACATCGCCATGGGCGGGAATGTGTGTCAGGGCCAGGTGCCGAGAGAGGGCGCGTATGATTTCGTGGTGCACGAGATGAAGATGCTGGAGGAGCCCGAGGGCGGTTGGCCGCGCTTTGAGAGGGATTGGGCCTGGGTTCGGGAGGGCGATATGATATGAGCTGACAGGAAGCCTAGATTACAAATACTTGAACCAAACGTTCATGGAACAGCAGGCACATCGATGTCACTGAACCTGGCTTGATACCATGACATGACACGACTGATGACTGCAACGAAAGATAGCATAGTTATAGGAAATGAGGCCACGATTAGATCACGACGATGGAATATTGTGGACATAACGAGACATTATATTATCCTTCATCATGAGGTTGTTGTTCTGTACACGCGGTCTGGTAGATACCTCGTCCCGCTACATTCTCCTCCATTACTGGGATCTCTTCACCTTTCATCTCATTCCCGTTTTATTCTCCTCTCAGTGCTGCATGCTGCATGTTGATCATGATATCTCATTCATAGCATCGCACATGTTCGTCAATCGTCACGTAACGCTTTAACCCGACTGGTACAGGGCAGGGCCGGCATAGACGTATCTAAATTGCAATAGTTAGCCATCTGATCGAACGAAGCAGTGTCAAGGGTCGGAACTTACGGGTTCACCAGAGACAAATTGAACGGAGTGACGTATGGATCCTGGCTGGTCACAGCGATGAAGCTGGTGTCGTTGACAGCCGGGTCGTTCATGAACACCGAGGCATTCGGCTGGACGACAAATCCAGTATTGCCGCTAATATTGACAAGAGGCACGTACGTCGCGTTAAGCTGCGAGACAAACAGCGCGTAGCGAGGAGCGTCGGCAAGAGGACTGCGCGACGTCACGTAGCTGTTGTTGGGCCCGACAGTCTGATTGACATTACCCCACGAGAGCTGGATGGGTCTGCCAGGGTATGAAAGCGGGATAGACTTGTTCTGGCTGATGGCGGGACCGCAGTCTTCAGCCTCGTTGTTGCTGCTCGCGCACAGGTTGCTGTTCTGGATGCCGCTGGTGCTGAGCGGATCTGAACCAGTAGTGTTATCCACAGGACCAATGTTGGGATTGATCTTCGCGGGGTTGGGCTGATTGACGATGGTGAGGGGTGGGAAGTTCTGCCACGCCAAGCGGGTGGTGTTGGCAGGGCAGCTTGAGATGTAGGGCGCGAGAAGCGTCCATGCCCATGACTGCGGGATGCCCGGGACGAACCACAGCGACATGGGGAACAGTCCATTGAACTGGCGGAAAATCATCTGCTGGCGAGCCTCTGTGACGATGGATTCCAAAAGCAGGGTTGCGGATTCGCGGGAGTCCAAGTGGCCGAGGAAACCGTAGACACCGCTCTCGCCAAAGCGAGTCAACTTCTGGTTGAAGTCGATGAATTCCCGGACATTCGTGAAGGGGTAGTTGTACGTGCACTGGGGAGGTGCCTATTTCAGTGTGTCAGCCAGAGCTCATCTGCTCAAAGGGCTTGCCTTGGTTTAGAGGGTGCATACCGCAGGTCCCAGGATGTTACTGAGCAGAGTTGCATGCCCGGTCTCCTGATCCGCCATGAACTGGATCAAGAAACGATCCTCAGCAGTCAGTCCGGCAGCCTCGAAATCTGCGACGGAGAATCGAGCAAGACCATTGTGGAAGAGATCGAGCTCAATCCATTCCTGGTACAGTGCGAGCGTCAAAGACTCGTAGTCGAAGTCCGACAGCGGGTGATAGTACGGAATGGTCCCGTTCGTGCCCTGACCGCCAGCCGGCTGATATGGAACTGGTTCGTATCCAGCCTGCAGCAACCCGTTGTTGTTGGTATAGGTGACAGGTGGAAGACCTCCAGGTGCCGCTGACAGAGCAGCTGCAGGTGCCGACAAAGCACCAGTGACTGTCGGTGCTGGACCGCTGTATGGGCCGTGGGAAGTCGGACCCGTCACCTCGCTGCTGCGTAGTGGGGGAGCTGGAACGCTCAATGGTGTAAGGGTGACTTGAGGTGCAGGGGCGGCCGCTGCAAGAGCGCCGAAGCTCAACAGAAGACCGGCGTAGGACTTCATCTTGTCGACAGTAATGGAGGTGCTGGACAGTCTGAAGGAGTGAGCGGGATTTCTTGCAACACCGTGGGGTTCTCTTCCAAATTATACCTGCGGCCAACAAATTTTTCAGAGCTGCTGATGACCTCAATCCCTGCCAGAAGCATCCGGCCTTGAGCTCCATCTTGTCCGAATCTGTAGAGCTGGTGGAGGTCGGCAAGATGCGGTGGGATCCCTGGAATGCATTTCCGTCACCCATGCGTGACGGTTTCCCCGTTATTCGACATGATGCGTTCGCGGCCGGGCAATACACCTGTCATGGCACGCCGCATCAGCATGTCCGGTCCAAAAGTCCGTGTAGGAGGTCCATCTGAGAAGACGCACAGTAGAGCTTCCGAGTCCGTGACGTAGTCAATGATGCTTTGAGGAGATGGCGAGGCTGGTAAGCCCGCCGCTTGACCCCACAGGAGCTCTGCGATGAGAGTTGTACGAACCAAGGACTGTCTGTGGCGACAGCTCAGGTTGAAGCTCTGCCACCAATGCCGTGCTGTCCACGATTGCTTCGGGTCATATATCCAGCTTGATCCCTGCAAGACGAGCTGCTTCTGCGATGCTGGGACACCTTATTCTCCACAATTTGTTCAGTTCCAACTGTTGCTGCATCGGCGCCAGCTTTGTTAGAGCTTCCCCAAGCCATTTCCGGGTCCACCTGAATGGCTGCAAGGTACGCAGTCTGCAGGTGGGAGCAGCCAGTGCATGTAGCTGAGTCGATGCTGGCGCCTGGGGGACAAGCAATTGCAGGCGAGCTATTCGCGCGGTAACATGTCCGGCACTAGAAATTTTCCGATCTGCCAGTCCAGAGTCTCCAGAATCTCTCCCTCATCTCGCCCGCGTAAGGGATCCGCTGAGGTGGCGGCTGCGCGTTTCCGACCAATCAGAGGGGGGCGTCGAATCGTCATAACATCACCACTTTCAATCGCGCCAAATCAGGTGAGGACATGACGCGATGAGGCGCCATTTGTCCTACTCGTACGGGGGGTACGAGTACCACTCCCAGAAATCGACGGGCTCTCTTCAGATCGCAGTGACCGGTAAGAGATGAATTACGATTGAAGTGGCGGAAAGCGATGCGAGCGTCTGGGTTTTCGACATCGCGTTGGCCTTGGCATCCCCGCTTCGCACAAACAGTAACTCGGATCGACGTTGAGTAGATCGTACGCGGAGCTCGTACTGTGTAGTCGTTAGCTCACCTCGCTGTCTAGGTTTTCTTCCGATCAGCATCTCGGTCGCTATCAACACATGGAGCAATTCGCTCCGTAAGGTAACTGCCGAGTCACTGCGCGATGGCAAGACCCCGTTCAGTTCCAGCCGTGCAAAGGTCATAGAGCTGACTGGTGCCTCGCAAAGGGACGACGTGGCAAACTTGACCATAGAAATCAACCGCATTTACCTAGTACAGCTTCTGCAAAGGCTTGACGTCCTCGGTTCGAAATTTGTCGCTGGGAAGTCACGACTCTGTGAGCACGTGTCGAGAAGCTCGCCCGTCGCGTCACGTCGGCACCTGGTGTACTCGTACCGGCTGTTGGTGCGCTCACAGGGAAGAAAATGTTGATTGATCTGCGTCGGCAGGAGTTACAGATCACGGAGTGGACAAGCACAGATGACGGTTTGAGAAAAGTACTTCGGCGCGAAGCATGCATTACAGTGCCCAACCGTGCCAACTGAGGATACGAGTATTGGAGGACCGTTCTCAGAGAGATACATCAGGCGCTTCCTCCGCGAAGTCGAACTATCCATCACTGAAGCCTTCCCGCGGCGTCTATGTAGTACTTTCTTCTTTTTCAGGCAATGGGAAACACAGGGAGAGGTAAGCAATTTACGCGGCCAGATCCCATGGCGGGATCGCCTCTGTCACCAATGAACCTTTTGTGTGTGTGAAATGAGGACGAATAATAGCACTACGGAGCTTAGGCCCCGCCATCGATGCATTGGGAGCCGCCCACCAGCCCCTGAGCAGGTGCAGTGTGAAACTCCTGATGATGCCCCCCTCCCAAGAGGCTGAGTCGGGCTCTCTCACAGTCAGCCCTCACGAAGCGCAAATTGCAAAACTGCACCTCTGTCTCTGCTGAAGGCCCGGTCTCATCTAAGCCAGCGCGTCACTGACAGGTGGCTTGCATCTCGCGTGGTACCTGACACCAAATTTAAACGGCTCCTTTTCACTTTTCCAGGCACCGCGTCTCTCGAAGGATGGCGCCTCAGCAGCTCCAGTGGAGGACACCATGCCGTTCCCAGTCGCCTCATGCTTCTAGCGTGGACCGGCGCCCCTCTGTGGCTTCTAGAGGGCGACTCTAAATGGCCCGCGGGCGTGGTACCTGCAGCAGTCCCCGATGCCTTAATTTGAGCCTACTTCAGCCTTTGCGCTGTCACCTTCGCTGTCCCGGCTGATCATTGGTGGTCCCCCCTTTCAAGCCCCTGTCACCTGTTTGTTTTGTCGTCGTTTCCCACACTCGGCTTGCGGCTGCGCGGGAGTGGCAGACATGGTGTCTGATGGGCGGTGATGGGGAAATTAAACCTGAGCAGTTTGGTCTAGTTCCAGATGGCCGCATGGCACCTCGACCCGTATCCCCAATCTCCCATGCTAGCGGCAGTACTACAAGAAGGTCAAAAGGCCCAGGGCTCGCATCTCTCATCTTTCTCTATACCCAAGCTGTGACTTCAGTATCCAAGCAAGCCCTTTGACCTCGGTCGTCCATTCTTTTCGAGTTCAACTCGCCCACACTCGTTTCGGTACCATACCAACGTCCTTCGCTTTCGAAGCTATTCTTACTTTTTTCGGTAATTTACACCAAAAACCCAACACAATCAACAACATGCGTACCTCAATTGCCATCGCCGCCGGCCTCGTTGCCCTCGTCTCGGCCAAGACTACCACCATCACCGACACCGTCGATGTGACCATCACCTCGTGCGAGCCAACCGTCACCAACTGCCCTTACAAGGGCGGCAACGGCGGCAGCACCTGGAGCGACTGGAGCGTCTCTGCCTCCACCACCTCTTCCCCCGCCAAGGTGACCAGCACCAGCTACGACCCCAACCACACCTGGAGCGACTGGACCGAGAGCGTCAGCACCTCTACCAGCTCCAAGCCTGTCGCCCCTACTTCCACCGGCTCCTGGGACCCAACCTGGAGCGATTGGTCCGCCAGCTCCAGCACCCCGGTCGCCCCGGTCTCATCGGACCCTGCTTCCACCTGGGTTGACTGGGAGAGCACCACCTTGGCCACCTCCACCGCTGTCGCTGCTGCTACCACCCAATATGGCACTGGTGCCGCTTCAACCCCCGTTGCTGCTGCCTCCACTGGTGTCTGGTCGTACTCTGGGTAAGCATTGCCTCATTCCGGCTCAGACAGGCGTGAAAACTAACGTGCAAAACAGTTCCTCCACTCCTGTTGCCCCGGCCGTCGCCACTTACACTGGTGCGGCCAACATCAACGCTGGTTCTTTCGCTCTTGCAGGTCTTGCCGCGGCCGCCGCTTTGGTCATCGCATAAGCGGTTTGATCTCACGACGCGCTTTTGAACATTTTTCAGTCACGAGTTCCATGGCCACGGCATCTGCAGCGAAGTCCTGCTTGATATCAAAGAACATAGCAGCATGTCTGGGGAGGTCTCTATGAGGGGAGGTGTGTTGTAATTGTCCGCAACAGTACATCGGCTGTGAAGTTGCATGATTTCAAACGGGAACTTCTTTGCATATTATTTGGACGCATCAAGGAGATGCTGGCTAGACCACTGTAGCTAGCATTGCGTAATACCTGTTCATTACCGAATCCGTTGCTCGTCCTTTTCTGTGTGCTACCAGATGTTTCAAACGTGCCTCGTGTTCATGGAAAGTGTTTTGCTGCCAGAAGTTGGAACGACTGAGAAGTAAACAAGACTGATGGGGAAATCCCTCGCATCCGGGAAATTGCTTGCTTCTGAATTTGGCAGTACCAGGACGCCGCACCGCCACCAGGACCTTGGCGTCTGCAGCCTTCGCCTGACCTCAAACCCACTCGCCGGTGGTGGCTTTGGGGCTGCAACTCGGCCTCCGTGACGCCTCCACAGATGTTTGATGTGGTGACACGAAACGGCGGAGGCTGCCTTGGCAATAGGATGAAGGCACGAAAGAACAAGCCATATCAGTCATCAAAAATAAACCCCTTGCAGCTATATTGAGGGCGCATACAGACTGGACACAGGTTCCCTACGAAGGGCCAAAGTACCTACCCATCGACCTCGAAGACAGGTTATGAGTCTGTATGGCGCCTAAGCGCTCTGATCTAGTTAAGCACTGCAGCTAATTAAATGGTTGCCATGTGGAAGCCCGGCGGCAAATATTACCCGCCATTGAGTTTCTGCGGAGAAAGGCAAGCTTCACAGCTGGCAGGGGAAATGCCATGTACTGCGTAGACAGTACCTGTCACCCAATCCATTCAAGGAGACGGGTGTCAGGGCTGTCGTGCAACATAATCCCGCGGGGACTACAGATTCAATACGAACAATACCCTGTATACAGGACGAGTCCTAGATTTCCTGCCTCCGTCCTCCTGCCTATGCCACTCCTGGCCACCGTACTCCGTACATGATTAGGAGCCGTCCGTCCGTCCGTCTCCGGGCCCTTTCCAAGCGGAGAAAGTCAAACACCGAAGTGCGAGCCAAGCTGTTGGCAATGCAGTGACCTTGTCGTTTCTTCGCTTGGTTCCCCGCGGCTTCACGGTGGACATTGCACCGTCGCCGTGTGCTGCATCTGTTGTCTACCTCCAGAGCATGCGGCGGCTCATGCAGATTCTGGAAGCAGTGACGCTTGACCGCATGTTGGAAGTCTGAAACGTCGACCACGCACTCTTGTCGGCACTCCAAAGCAGGTCTTGATCGGCCGACATGAGGCGAAGGAGGCTTGGCGGGCGAAGCTTGGAGGCTTACTGCCGTACACGGCCCCAAGGCTTGTCAGCTCTAGCTTTGTGCGGTCAACTGCTCATCAGACTCTGCTGGGCGAAGGATGCGCTTTGCGATGCTAACGATCCGTGGGCATCTCCAGCCGTGAGAAATCGCCTATTTGACCTTGGACACGATGATCTGGCCGTGCACGACACACGAGCAATCCTCACTCGATGCCGTGGTTCCCCATCGTAACAAGCTGAAGTCACTGCGTGTCTCCCGGCGCACTCGAGTCTGTGACCCGTCCGGGTGAATCGCTGGCACTGCCAACACGGACTTCTTTGGCCCGTTTCGCCTGCTTGACGACGTCGCAAACGGTATCGCAGACTCCGCCCTGCGCCTGCGACAAGTCGGCCCCTTCTACAGTACTATGATTATACTGAAGGCTTACCGCTTACTCACGATGGCTCTCCGTGCAATTACTATCCATGGACTGATCGACCGCCTATGCTCCTTGTAGTGAAGGTCTGACCTTTCGTGGCCGGCCGGTTATGATCCGACGATTGTCGTCGACTCTTAGGCATGCCCGCCAAACCGCTGGTACCATGATCTAGTTCCTTCTGTTAAATCAGACGTCCACCCACGGTATAGGTCGGTGTCCAATTCGCCCAGGCGGAGCTTCTGGTGGATTGCAATATCATCCCGTCAGTCCCTTTCCGATGCGGCTCTTCTGGTGTTCAAGGTAAAGATCCTACCATCACCTCGACCGAGCGATCGAAGGTCTCTATCCGACCTCGCCAATCTCCTCTTCGTCACCAGCAGCAGAAGGGCTTTGCATCGGACCTCGTCGCGTACTTCGTGGCCGTCCGCGACTGATTAAACGACAGACCTTATGCCACAATGAGCTTGCAGGGGGATAGCATTTTCACCCATGTCCGAACAAAACTGCGACAGTCTCGATCCAGCGTGATGCTGGCGACCCCGTCACAATACCCATACCGAAACTCTGGCTGGGATGACGTTCCTGTAGCATATCGGCCTGTTGAGAGAGCCGAATATCGCGCCGTCAATGGGTATTACCTGGATCGACCTCTGCCGGGACCCCCTCCAGGACCTCCGCCGCGTCCTCGGACGATGTCCCCTCAATCGTTCCACGAGGTCAGAGCAAGTTTGGATGTCGGCAATCTGAGAATCCCGACACCACGTACGCATCGCACGAGGTCGGCTGAGATGGCGCAGAGACGGTGGTCGGGACTTGATGGCCGTGAGATGGACTTCCAAAACAAAGACACCAGCGTCAATATCGCTGTAGCTCTTCCGCCAGATCATCTCGAACCTCCGCCACCGTACTCTCGCTATGATGTACCTCCCGCAACTGGCTACCCGCCACGACCGAGGTCGCAGCCTCCCCCAGTGCTCACGACGCACTATGTGAAGCCATATGACCCGATCGACTATATTGGAGTTGGGACTCAGGGTACGAGGAGACCAGTGGACGACGTGCCAATCATCGCCGCGCCACAGCCACCTACGCCGGTGTCGCCTCTCAACACGCTGGACCTGCAGTATCTGGCCATGAGACGCCGGCCAGCCTCTGAAAATAACGTTACCCTTGATGGTCTGTTAAGTCATCCCATGCTGCAACAAGGCTCGCACTAGAGACTCCAAGTCATGGTATGCCACCTCGGCGACACCGACTCTCGCCATAATGCCACCACGCATAGGAGCCATCGGGCTTCATCGCGGGTTCTTCGCACGGGAATGGACGCTCGGATCAGCAAGGGTTCCAGATCCCCGGCTTTCCGGCTGCATGGCTTCGGGAGGCAGGAGGAATCCGCCCTCACCACGAGGCAGCCATTTCGGGGAATGCAGCACTCGTGCTTACGACTGCACGTCCTTGCTGTCGTGTCGCGAGTGAGCGCGTCACAAGACTATTTCTTCGATCCAATGTCCTCATTTACTGCAAGCAAGTTTATGTCTCAAGTTATCAATTCCATTCGTTCCACCATTTTCCGTCGACACTCTTTTGAGTTTCGCGTGCCTCCACGACTTGTCGTTCATTCTATCTGATACTCTCGTTCCCACGATCGCATAGTTTGCGTACGTTCATTAGCTGATTTGCACATGGCGCCGAGACACAACATCGGTTCAGTCCTCGACATGTACGCCTCCCGCGTCTCGGCTCGGCAACTCTTTCGTCGCTCGGCTCCCTCAGACTCTCTCATTGCGACAATCATAGTGGTCTCGGTACTCTCAACACTCCTGGTTGCCAGTATGATCCTCCTCCTGTCCCGGATGTGGAAGAAAATCATCAGTCGGAGGAGCGATGCGGCACCCCTCCAAGGATCTCAAAATCAAGGCGCGGGTCTTGGGTGCAAACCGAGTGACTGGGCCAGGAAGGACAGCAACGTGCTCTGGTCGATGTACATCACGGAGGACGACCTCAAAGCCCAGTTCGCCGTGTCACCGAAATCAAGGCTCTTCTCTATAGGGTCTGTCTCCACCATCGATCACGCCAAATGCCCTCTCGACAGACGTCAGTCGCACGCCCACCCATCAGCTTACCACAGTACCATCGAGGATAGATTCTCGCAAGCAAGCGACACCGCTGCTGACTTGCGCAACCGAACGCCATACGAGCACCAGACGACGCCGACGAAGAATACCCCGCGTGCCCGAGCAATGTCCCAGCCTTCCAAGCACAAGTATACCAGCTTCTTTGAGGCGATAGCCAATCGGAAGCAGAGCCTGCCTCTCTCTTTGATGGTCGAGGCAGTCAATGAGGGTTACGGTGACTATTCTGGGCCATGATTACAAGGGAGCTTGCGACGATATACGCAGAAGGGCGGTACCAGGCTGCGGGAGCCATCTTTTCTGTCGCTACATTCACCATAGTGCTCCAACGTCGTATAGCCTCCTCAGCCTAGAAGGGTACGAATTCCCACTTTGCTCCAATCAGTTCTCTCTCAACATAATTACCCATACTGTGTACACATGCTAGACCGGCGTCGAGGTGAGTGGGGAGTGAAGGTCACGTGAGCCCACACGGTTATCAACCTCGTTAAGGTCCTCAAATTCCTCTTCCATCTCTACACACCCTTCGACCAATCTCACTTCATTCTGCGCTGTAGAGCATGACCCATTCCGAACGAAGGGATGGCTGATGTCAGTGGGAATCATGCTCTGTCCGCATCGAGGTCTGACTTACGGCGTTTTTCTCCTGCCGATTGCGTGAACGATGAGCACATGTTCGTGCTTCAAAGCCCGCCATCTCCACGAGCTGACATTGAACCTTCCTTCCTGCCGTTGCCAACCTTTTACATATGGAAATGGCGCGTTGAGGAGAAGGAGGATATCTTTGTCGCAAGCCGTTCTTTCCGCGCAGGTTTCCGGCCTCACTCTTTCCTCACGCTTGCTTGCTTCGGTCTGCCTGAAAACATTTCCTGCTCTTGAGCAATCTTGAGATTGTCCTCTGTCTCAAGGCGAATGCCACTTGTGATCCTTCCAATCTCGTACGAGCTGCCGGAGGGTGCCAGAACACGATGCTGCTCAACGCTTCCCACAAACTCACCTCGAGCGGTCTCCCGCCAGACTTGTTGGATGCATACGTTCGCTATAAGCGAAGCACGCGCGGTCTACTCACTTGGTTTCAGCAGCGCAGCTCGACACCAGACAAGCCCATCAAAAGCCTGACCATCAAAGGCCTCGAATCATTGGCGCAGCAAGTCTCTGAGAAACTGGAGTCACTCCCTGATATTGTCCACTTCTACTTTCGAGAAGCCATTGCAGATAGGAACAGACTCAGCAAGCACTATCGGACTGAAGTTGACGACACTGCCGACGACGACGATACTGTTGGACATGAACATTTCACGACTCTGTAAGTCAGGGTGGCACCAACCCGGACAGGATGCTGACTTGGCGCAGCCTTGAGAAGATCTACGGCGACCTTTGCGCCCGATATGGCGGCCCGAAATCCCAGAAGAACGAAAAGCGTAGATCACAGTCTCCAACAAGCCAATCGCCCCAGCCGGTCAACCAGTACGAGGGCTTGATGGTCGAGGAAGCCAAAGACCACGAAGGGCACGACAACAGAGACGCTGAGATGCTGACTCACTGTACTGCACCTACGGCTGTCCCGTGTCACACCACTCGTAGAGATACCAACATCCACCTTGCCGACGATGAGCTCGGTAATGCGCTCGAGGTGATGGCTGCAGCACAGGCACGTATATCCCGACCGTTTGCAATAGTCTTTGCTGACCAGATTAGCGCATCCAAGACATCTCCACGTCAATCGATGGCTATTGGGCCGCCGCTGGAAAGGGCATGATCTCGTTCGTGGTGGCCTCGTTTATGACCAATGCTGCTTTGGCGGCGCTCCGGCAGGTGGCGAACGAATTGCTCCAGCATGATGAAAACCTCAGCATTTCCGAGTTCTTGAGGGTCTGCAGCTCGTTCCGCAGCTCGTTCGAGGCCGAACTGCGCAATCAAAAGATCATCGGCACCAATACATCGTTACTGAGCCGTCTTCAGCATATCGAACGGAACCTATCCAACTGCCGCAAAGACGATGACCTGTTCTCGCACGATCCGTCGTGCGCCAGGTGCGGACATAATTTTGCCTCGCAGGTGCACTCGATCGTCTTCAAGGGAGCGGGTGGAAGTCGATTCATCTCCTCTGCCATGATAGAAAACATTGTGCATTTGGTTTCAGGCGAGATCATACCACACAATGCAATCCTAAGAAGTACGCCTGTCTACTCGGACGTGGCGGCGGATCTCGTTACAGACACAAACAATCACAAGCAGTCTTGGGCGGCCGTTCTTGGGCTGAATCTGTTGACCCAGAGTTACAGAGTCTACCTGCATCATGTTAAACAGCCGAATTTGGTTCCGAAGAGCCGAATAACTGCACTGAAGCTCGCACAGCAGGTTTGCTCCCAGGTTACAACACTGCTGCAGGACCAAACATGCTTTCCGTGCCGCTGCTCTCAGACGCTTGGATGGCACCTGCAGAGTATGGCACTCGACCTTCAATGCTATGCGAGACACAACTGCTGGGACCTTGTTTTCCAGTCACCATGGGTTGCTGGAAATCATGTCCTCGAGATCCTCGACCTCTGCAACTACTACGGACATTACCTGCTCAAGTACCGGCACTACGTGGGTGCGATTGTGCACTCCTACAATGCTCTCACCAACTTGGGCGGGCTTGACAATTTGCCCCTGCTCGAGAAGATCGGCAGCCAGTACCGGGAAACATTGTTTCCCGGCGGCAACCTGCCAAAGAGCAATTTTCACGCTTGTTGGGCACGGTACGTCGGGGCGAGGCTGAAGTTCAGGAAGAATCACAAAGGGAAAAACACGCACGACAATTGGTGTCTTGCCATTCCAGCTCATGCAGCAAAGATGGCCGCCGGCATCGGTATCCCGGACCATCGTCAAAGGGATAGAGTCGGCTGCCTGCTCTTCAACATCAAGCAGCAAGAGTACCACATCAGTGACGCCCAGTGGGACGAGCTCAACGACTCGTATGCGAAGGTACAGAGCATGCGAAAGAACAAATCCCAAGAAATCTCTGCCATGAAGATGCCAACCTCGAGCGCTCAGATGGAGAAGCAGAGACTCTTGCCTCTGGCTATGACGACTCAGGGCTTGTTTGCTGGCTCTGGCAAGACATTGCCCAAGGCTCGGGTGAACCTCTTTGCGGTGTTTGAGAGATGTGTGCAGGTGGTCTCAACCATATCTGACAAAATGCATCAGGAAGAGCATCTCGGCAAGGGTGACTACTGCATTTGCTTCGCCAACGAGCTGTTGAACGCAGCAGATCGCATTGTTAAGGGCAGGCGGTTCGGGAAGCTTGCAGCGTGGAAGGAGCATGAACGCAAGCTCGTCAATGACACCAAGGACGCAATTTTGGCGGCATTTGGCAATGTGAAAGAGGAAGAGCTGTTGTGGGATGTTTGACGAGGCAGGTGTTGAGAGCCTCCGGCGCCAAAGCGTGATGTTCATCGTTTCATCGAATGGGATGTGCGCAGGGTTTTCGGATGGGCGTCGAAAGTGGTCGGCAGAGGTCTTACTTCTATGGTATTGAAGAGTCCAGTATCTCCAGACAAGCAACCATAGGAAGACTTTCTATAAACACTTGTATGGCTTAACAATTGTATGGCTTAAGCCTTGATTCCATCTTGTCCATTTTTCATTTCCGCAACCAGTATTCCTGCGAGAGCCTGCCTCACACCTTGCCTCACAAGGATCCATTGCTTAATCAACAGGCAGATCTGGGCCGAGCAGAGATATGCAAAGTACACATAGATGGAAATTATGATGTGGTGGTACCATCGCTCGCGTGCCGTAGATTAGAGGCGAGGGAACGGAACAGGGACAATCTACAGTAACATGGACAGCACGGTCACTGGACACTTTTGCCCCTGTATCAATCGACGGCCCTCGTTGTCATCAAGGCTTGTCGTCGTGTCGTCCGTATCGTCGTGTCGGCGTGTCGTCGTGTCGTCGTGTCGTCGTGTCGTCGTGTCGTCGTGTCGTCGTGTCGGCGTGTCATGACCGACTATACCACATTATATCTACTAGAAGCGCACCTTTAGATGTCTGTCTAGTCTGATGAATGTACTCGTATGATTGATTACAAGTCTAGAATACAGCTACGGACCAGCTAGCTATATATAAAACGGTATTATACCCTAGTGCGGCCATCCCGGCGTGCGCACTTCTCCCGAAATCGACGAGAGGAACAGAGGAGCACACGGTAGAAAAGGGCGGATATGACTTCTAATGGCGCGACTCGGTACATGTCTATGATTGACGCGAGGCCACGATTCCCCGATATCCTACCGCGCGACGAGGGAGTCGGTGAACACCAATCACCAGGCTGAGCCATCTACCGCCAGCCCAAAAAACTTCGCCTTGCAAGCTTGGACACCTCCCTTCGACAGCTATGGATGGAAAAGGCAGCACCTGTCGCCCCGGGGCAAGCTCAAGTGGTACGGGTTGGCAGCACACTGGGTTGCCTCCTGTCACTACATCATATCATCTCGTGTGGGCGAGCCATTCACATCACAAGCCGAGTACGCACCACACGCATCACCCTCCTTGCTGAAGCCTGAGTCGTATGATTACCTCTTGCGTGCCCAAGGTACTGTTCGTTCCCAGGTTACTGTTCGTTCCCAAGTTACTGTGTGTTCCCATTGCCATGCCCATTTCTAGATTTCCATGCGTCCAGCTACTGTAGCACCCGGACCACTTGATCAATTCCACTCATCCTCGATCAGATTGCCGGCCAGCGCCTTATTCCCCGCGTAATCGATCCTGACGTCCACGAGACTGACGCCCGGATAGCTCAGCGCCTCGGTAATCACGGTCTCGACATCGGCCGAATCGGCAATGCGAAACCCCTTTGCACCGAAACTCTGCGCCAGCGTCACGAAGTCGACGCCCCCGAGCTTGACGCCGCTGCTGCGCCCGTACTTCATGACCTCCTGGAACTCGACCATGTTGTAGGCCTCGTCGTTCCAGATAAAGTGCGTGATGTTGCAGTTTTGCTGGACCGCCGTGGACAGTTCCTGCGCCGAGAACATGAAGCCGCCATCGCCGGAAATGGAGACGACCTTTTGCGAACACGGCGTCGGCGTCTGGGTCAGGGAGGTGGCGATAGCCCAGGGCAGGGCCACGCCTAGGGTCTGTTGGCCGTCGGAGCTGTGTGCGTAAGTCAATCGGTCAGTCAGTCAGTATACCATTCAGTGGGCTAGCTATCTGGCAGCAAAGAATGTAGATGAAAGAATATAAGGGGGATGCAGTAGAGGCTCGCTGGGCTCGCATGCTCGCTCGCTCGCTTAGGGCACATATGGACTTACCACAGTAATCGTCGAGGCTCGTACGCGAAGAAATACCGCATAAAGTAAATGTAGACGCTACCCACGTCGACGCACACCGTCGTGTCCTTGGACACCATCCCCTGCAGCGTCGTGATGAAGTGTAAAGGATGTACTAATCCCGACGAGCGGTGCACCTCCGGTCTGTCCTGCCACTGGGTATACTCCTGCGTCAGGCCGCGGCACAGCTCCGAGATGGACGCCTCGGCGATCTTGGTCAACCGGGCGGTCAGGTATTTGAGGTTCTCGACCACCGACCCCACCAGCTCGGCCACCGGGTGATAGTACGTCCCGTAGTCGCAGGGCGTGTAGTCAATGTGGACGACCTTGCGGCTGCCCGCGGGATTCCAGGCGTTGGCGTCGTACTCGACGGGATCGTAGCCGACGGCGAGCACGAGGTCCGACTTGGCGAGCAGCTTGTCGCCGACTTGGTTGCGGAAGAGCCCCACGCGCCCGTAAAACAGGTGGACCAACTCCTTGGGCACCGCGCCAGCGGCCTGGAACGTCTCGATCGTCGGCAGCGGGAACCGGACCAGCAGGGCACGCACTGCATCCACGACCCGTGGACTGCTGGCGCGCATACCGAGGAACAGCACCGGCAGCTTGGCTTGCTCGATCATCTCCACGACCTGGTCGAGCGTCTCCGGCGCCGCGGGGCCGTACCGTGGCGGAGTGAATGCGTGGGACGGGAATGCGAGGATCTTGGACTCGCCCCTCGCCACGTCCTGGGGGATCGAGATGACGTTGGCACCCTTGGGCGACGCGCTGGCCGAGCGGAACGCATTCAGGACCACCTCGGCGGCTTGGTCCTCGACGTCGATGCCCACGGCGCTCTTGGCCGTCGGGCCGAGGATGTCGAGGGCGCGCATGCTCTGGTGCGTCCTCTTCAGGTTCATGTGGCGTGGCACGGAGCCCACGAGGGCGACAACCGGGTCGTTCTCCGTCGTGGCTGTCACGAGACCGGTCGCTAGATTCGACGCCCCGGGCCCGCTGGTGCCGATGCAGACGCCTGGGACGCCGGTGATGCGGCCCACCGCGGCGGCCATGAAGGCGGCGTTTTGTTCGTGGCGTGCCACGATCAGCTTGATCTCCGGGTGGTCCATGAGGCAGTCGAAGATGGCGTCGATTTTGGCGCCCGGCACGCCGAACACCACGCGCACACCCGCATTGTATAGGCTGTTGACGATGATTTGGGCGACTGTCTCTGCGTCTTTGGCGGTGGATGTGTCGTCGCTCATTTTGATCGGGCAGAGGATTCAAGGAGGAAGCGAGGGAAGGACTCTGAGGATATACTCGAGCAAGCAAGCGATCTAGAGAAGTCTGTGTGAATGAAGCTTTTTACGCCACACCGGAATGAGGGACATCGTCCGTTACCTTATGTACTCGGCCAGGCCGGATATCAGTGGCATAATTATGATGGCGGGTTTGCAGGTACGTGATAAGTGAGTGACAGGCGAGTGACGGGGAAGTGAATCGCGATGATGTAATCGGCTGGATATTATTCACCTTCATCTGTCAAGACTCTCGATTCGGCCTCGCTTTCGTATGTGCACATGCAAGCACGTTCATGTCTGTGAAATAGATTGACTGATTGTTCTTCAGGCGACCAGCCCGAGAGAGAGCAGGCCGCGGATTGCTACCGAGTAGCAGGGCGCCAATTGAGGTCTGCAGAGAAGAAAGCCGTCGACGATCCGAGAACACAAGTACGGACGAAGAAGGAGACGTGCGGCTGCTAAAGAGCGAGAGCAAGCCCGCGATATTAGTGTAGGTATCACGATAGACACTCTCCAGCTTCAACTTCGTATCACCTCTACAAATACACCTGGCAAGCATGGCCATCAACGAAATCTACCAATACAGCCTCGTCAACGCTCTGATGTCCGGTGTCTCCGACTCGGGCATTACTGTTTCGCAACTCGTCGAGAAAGGAAACCAAGGCCTCGGCACCTTCGTCCGCATGGACGGCGAGCTCCTCCTCCTCGATGGCACGGTCTATCAACTCCAAGCGGAGGGCAAGATTCGGGTCGCCGAACCGGACGACCAGATCCCCTACGCGGCAGCCACACACTTCCGCTCCCAACAGACCGTGACCGTGAAGCTCGAGAACAAGGAATCGATCGACTCCGTGCTGGACCGGTTCAATGACCACGCAAGCAACCTCTTCATGTCGTATCGTGTCGAGGGCCGGTTCTCGCGGTTGAAGTGCCGGACCGTCAAGGGGCAGGAATATGACGGGCAGCCGCTGAGCGAGCTGGGAAAAAAGCAATTTGTCGCCGAGTATCACGACGTGGAGGGAACGATCGTGGGCTTCCGCTCGCCTGCGGCGTGGCAGGGGTTCTTCGTCGCGGGCGAACACATGCACTTCATCGATAAGGACAGGAAGATCGGGGGTCATGTGTTGGAGTTGCAGGCCGATGAAGAGGTGGCGATGGGCATTGCGACGGTGAATAATGTGCATATCGAGCTCCCTACGTCGGACAGGTTCAATGCCGCCAAGATGTCGACAGATGATGTGGGCTTGAAGTCGGTGGAAGGGTGATGTTGGTCACTGGAGACGCAAAATGGTCGGGTCTGTCCGATTCGAATGCGATACAGAACAATGACGGTGCCCGGTGCTCGGCGCTCGATTCTCGCCTCGATGAACGCTGAATTCTGTAATAGCCATTGAAGTTGCACTTCATATGCCTCTGTGCTTGTCTTTGCGCTGTGATGCAGGATTTGGGTTATGAACGCGATATTAAGGCTGGGGTATAAGTGTCGACGGACGGGGGTCTATCCGATCGTAACGCACTTCTGTCACGACATCCAGGTGTGCTTCGGTGTCTCCATAAGCGAAGCCGCGCATGTCATTGCTGAGGTTGTTGTTCAACCAAGAAAGGGGAGCTGGTCCTCGGGTCGGGCGAAATCATCTCAACCATCAAGAACTTCTCTTGCGAACGTGATCCATGCTATCTGTTTTGTGATGTGAGCGAGGCTCGTCAAATCTCACCTAGTCGCGAGCGATCCATATCTACGGATTCGCCGCGAGGACGCAGGAAGCCGCAGGTCAAAACAGTAGTTCTGGGGGATATGCGGTGGCCAATCAGTCTCATCTCGCTGCTGTTGAGGACCAATCCAATCTCTTTCCATGGACCAGACTGTGAGGCGATGCTCAGTATTGCGTCGACAAAGCGAGGCATGGCCACCGAGTGCCGACGATCTGGAAGTTTCTTGACAAGGCGGCTTGTGTGATTGCTAACGAGTTCGAATTCTGGTCTTTGCAAGATCGTCCGAGTCACTGTAGTCCACCGTATGACATCTCCGGCGAACTAGTACACCCGCATAGCAGTATCTCGAAGCGGAGCTCATTCATTCCACTTGCAAGACTTCATTAAATTACAATTGACACACAGCTGTCCTTGCCGGATGCGAGCAGGGTCCGGCTAGGAGATGGACTTGGGCGTCTCCCTCTCACCATGTCTCTAACCTTCACCCAAGGTTTCCTGCTCGGCCAGCTTTCCGTCGTCATTTTCCTCGGCTGCTTCATCAAGTTCTTCATCTTCGGCGAAGCGCCTTCTCCGCCCTCCCGAACGTCGCGGCGGACGCCGAAGCACGTCCGGACGACCTCACTGCATGGGATTGCATCCTCCAAAAGCTCGGTTCCCCAGTCGTTGCGCAACAAGGCCAGTGCCTCCAACGTCATCCGTCCCGTTCCCACAAACGCGACGGACATTGCCTCAATTTTGCGCAGGACGTATTATCAGATCCCGAGCCGCGGGCATGGCAAGAACAATCATTCGACACATCAGCCCGAGAGTCTAGATTGGTTCAATGTGCTGCTGGCCCAGACCATAGCCCAGTACCGCCAGACGGCGTACAACCTACGGGACGGCTCGGGAGGGACGCCCACAATCCTGGCAAGTTTGGAGGCGGCGATCAATGACCCTGTCAAGAGACCGTCCTACATCGACAAGATCAAGATCACCGAGATCTCCATGGGCGAGGAGTTCCCCATCTTCAGCAATGTCCGAGTCATTGCCCTGGATGACGAGGTCTCGAGTGCTACGGGAGGTAGATTGCAAGCCTTGATGGACGTCGATCTTTCCGACGACAACCTGACGCTGGCCATTGAGACTGCCCTTATCCTCAACTACCCCAAACCCTTCTCTGCCGTCCTGCCGGTTGCGCTTGCAGTTTCCGTCGTGAGGTTCTCTGGGACCCTTTCCATTAGCTTCGTTCCTGCCACTGAGGACGATCCCTCAAACACCAAACAATCCACATCGGGTAAGCCCAAAACTAGTCTCGCTTTCTCCTTTCTCCCCGACTATCGACTCGATCTCTCCGTCAGGAGCTTGATCGGCTCCCGCACCCGGTTGCAAGACGTCCCCAAAATTGCGCAGCTTGTGGAAGCACGAACTCAGGCTTGGTTTGAGGAGCGTGTCGTCGAACCAAGGGTTCAGGTGGTGCCTCTACCTGGTCTCTGGCCACGCATGGGTAAGACCAGATTAAGAGAAGGACAGGATGACGACAGACCACCTACCCAGGACGAGCATCAATCGTCCTCATCTGTCGAGCATCGGAAAGACGTGGCTCCGAATGACAACTTCCCTTCACAAGAAGAGGCCGAAAAACTGATTAGAGGCCTCAGATGGCGTCATCAGCGTACCGACAGTCAAGTAATCGAACACGAGGGCGATGCTCCTACGCCCCAGGCAGTTCGGGTAATGCCTGGGGCTTTACCCGCCTGATTAGATGGTGAACGTCCATACTCGGGCGGCCAACAACCAGCAATTCGAGAGGTCAGGTGTTTGCGGCTTGCAGCTCGGTCTCTGGCCGCATCCAGACTGGAGCCTGTAGAAGGCTCCCCACTGTCCGCAGTCAAGTCACGTTGATCGTTGAAATCATCTCGTTCCATAGCCATTCCAGCGGTTCGCTGCAGATTGGCTTCCACCACAAGAATCTGGAGCATATTGACTCCAATACGGACCAGTCCTCAATCTGCATAATTGAAGTTTCTTGCAGGAGCTGGTCGATATACCACGATCTCTGTGCCGTATAACTTGCGGCGATGGCCCCAAGAGTAAGAGCCCATATCAACACCTGGTTGTGCAGTTCCCAATACCGGTGGAGATGGCAAGTCTCCAGGGTCTGACGTAACATCAGAGCAAGTCTCGGTTTTACTCCTTGCGTCGGTGGTAGCGGGAAGATGACCATGTCGCTGAATATCAGGCTCGCCAGGCGCACCGCGTGATGAAGACACAGTTCTGGATCTGAGAGGTCCACCGGATTCGGCAGCCCAGACAGCAGGCGATGCTGTGTGCAGTTGCGCACTTCCATCAGATCGACCAGTTCCGGCGCTGTCGGACCACCACGTACATGATGATCCAGCGCCACGGTGATCTCGGAGTACGCATCCAGCACATCGAGCAGTTGTTGACCAGTGGATGTGTGACGCAGGTAGCGAAAGCCGGATCCAAGCTTCGAGTCCAACTCAATGGCGGTGTGATCGAGCACATGTTTTCCCTCCATGACAAGGGACCTCACGGGCTTGCGCCACGGATAAGTCGGCCTGCATGCATATTTGGAGGCGAAATAGAGATCGCATCTCCCAACACATGTTAGCCTGAAGACCGCAGCTTCATGCAAAGAAAGAGAACCTACAACTGCATCGTGTCAGCCATGCCATAGCACTCGATTGCATCCAGCCCGCCTTTCTGACCGACCAGCAGCCTGATCCCTTGAATGTGCTTTTCGTCGTTGATCATCGAGCCGTAAATATCGAGATGATTGAGTCTTGCGAGCGGTGACTGCGCGTGAATCTTGGCATAGACGGACTGCCCGCGGCCATAAAGTCAGCAATCCATACATACATACCATATCATACCATACGATAAAGAGGCACCCGGTATTTGTCCCCAAACCGTTTCTCTCTTTTGATCTGTGCAGTCTTTCTGAAAAACACGTTCAGTCATTAATCTCTTACCTCGTCCCGCTGACTGTGGATACTCAGAATCGTGACCGCCATGATCAAAGCATCGGTCGGCCCTGTTCCCATCCCCATCGACTTGGGTGGAGCTCTCTTCTCTTCTTCCTCTCCGTACCGGGCTGCGGCGGCGGCGGCTGCTCCGGTGGCCTTTCGTTTTGGTACAAGGCTCAGATTCTGCAGCTGTTCGTTGACGAGTTTGATGGTCTCGACTTTGTGGGACAGACGGAGGAGTGCGGCCGAGTCGTTGATCTCGTGGCCTTGGTGGGCGCAGAGGATGTGGAAGGATGTGGCGTCTGGAATTAGTGCGGGAGTTAGGTGGGGGTCAGATCTCTCAAAGAAGGGTAAAGGAAAGAGGTGTTTGGACCGCCGAAGTGTCAACCAGCCGTCTGTGTCTAGAAAAGGGAGGGGAGAGTAAAGATGGGGTGGCGCTACGAGCGAGATAGAGAAGGGGATAGCCAGGGGACAGGGGAGTGGTGAGGGTCAGCTCGGCGACTCGCCACAGCACTTTTATATCGGTGCCGGCCACGGTGTGTCGTGCTGCCGACATACATGTCCTAGTCGGCGCTGAAGTGGACGGCAGAACTCTCAGAATGGCGCTCGTTACTTACAGAGAAAAGCATGGAAGGCCACAGGATGCTCCATCGCCATTTTGAGCCAGCTGCTCTTGACAGGGTTTATCGGCGCGAGAGACCGTTTGACAGGGACGGTGTTGGGCCATGAGTGGACGAGCGCCTACACGGACGTGATGATGAGAAGCAAGCAAGCAGGAAGGAAAGAGCGAAGGAAATGACAGGGGAGGGGAGGGAATTGATCCCGAGATGCTCAGGCGCACACATACGTGATCGAGAACCTGGTGCACAAACATTGGCATTCCCTGCGCGGGGAGGACGTCAAATGGATCGATTCGTCCCTCGCCTAGCACGGTTTGAAGGCCAAACGAAGTATTGAGCCGGAGCGTGAGATCTTCGTTCGTCGAGGATCGGCGCGGGGCTTCTGACGACCAGGACGTAGTGGTCGTGGTCGCGGTCGTGCTGGGAGATGGCTTTGTCCACGCTGACATTGGCGCGGACGGTGATATCGTCTGATCGGCATTGCCTGTGGACCAGGACGCTTGATTGATGACTCCGGGGTCCGGAAATTCGTCGTCCTCATTCCCCTCCGACGAGTCCTGGCGTTGGAAGGTCCCCAAGAAGGGGGGCACCTCGCCTTGCTTCAGCGATTCCAGGCGTTTGACGCGCAGGGTTCGGTGGTAGTTTTTCGTGATATGCTGTTCCCTTTGTCAGACGCAGGAACCGGAGACGTGTCAATTTTGGCCAGATTGATGCACTGGGGGGAAGAAGGATCCATTGCATGATTGTATCCGCAAAGGCACGTACCGCGCGGACCTCGCTTGGGCCCCCTCGTCGCTTCTTCTGTCCCTTGGCTGGTTCCACCGGCTTGGAGTACTCGACGAACATGAATCGGCCTGCCTGGGCGTTGCACGCCATGGTTGCTTCGCGACCATCCACAGGCGCGACGTTTGATTCTCCCGCGTCTCTTATTGGGACTTGGAGGTATATTCGTTCGCGCGCTCAAGGCGCTCAGTTGCCGGTTTACCTGAATGTGCAGGATGTGCAGTGGTGATCACAAGCACCTTTACAGGCGAGCAGGCAAGGAATATCCGGCGACAGATGTGTCAGCCCGGAGGAACCATCTTGGACGAGGTTGAGAAAGGCCGATTCGCTTCGATTGGTGTGGCTTGGCTCTGGGGGTTGTGCTTGCTTTGCTTGCTTAGTACCGTGGACCCGTGCCTGCCCGCGGTAGGCATGAGGTAAAGTTCGACCTTAGCGCCATTAGTGAGCGTTCACCGCGTATGGAGAGTCGTCCGGGCCGACTTGGCCGAGCGAAAATCCCGTTAGCGATCAGCGCTAGGCTGGCAATGGGGTGCTCAACCCCACATTCGGTACTGCGAGTCATCAGACTCAAACACGACACTACGAGTCATCAGAGTCGACTTGGAACACGACCGAGGTACCCCAGTACTGAGTAGGTACGGTGTATATTGACGCGCTCGATTGTCAACCGTTTGACCAGAACCATTGACGCTGCCACTGCGGCGGCGGGACTCTCTTACCGCCAGTTTCGTTTCAGGCGTTAGCTGTAAAATGGGCTGTCCTGATGATTGCAGAGCGCCTACCACTGATTTGTTTATAACAACAATCCAACCCAGCCTCGAGGCATATCGCTCAATTCGTGCTCAAGACAGCGCCTAAATCGTTGCTAAATGGCTGCGAGGTGGAGACATCCTGCCCCATCGGAAGAAGCTGTCCGAAGAGTTTCGCCAGGATGCCTGCGATCAGTTAGAATATGATACGAGAGATACGGTCTCTGATAACCCCGCCAGGGACGAATGATGAGACCAAGGGGTACCTGTTGGTAACGAGAGCAGGAACCTAGTCCTGCTATAGTAGCATGTTTGCTGCAGCTAAAATACGAGGTAAGGTCGATCCGATCAATGTCCAACAAGCCGTCCAAGATCACCTAGAAAATTCTACGAAGGAAGCGAGTGTAGCCCAGTGAAGCCGCTACTGGAATGTTTTGAGAGACTGCTTCGGCGTCTTTCACCTGATGAGTGCCACAATGTAGTATCTCCCCATTTGCCTGACGCAGCATCCACCGCATGCTGACGTACAAGCGTGTCTACACGTAGTATACGTGGTATATCCTTAAACACAAGAGAGTAGTAGGCAATCCAACAACAGCTTGCAGAGCCGTTCCATGCAATGGAGCCTCTTCAACCCTTGCCTCTTGTGATGCGAACCTATCAGCAGGGCAAAGAGTTGAACCGCCGTGGCAATTCGTCTACAGTACCCGAAATACGCACGGGAGGAAGTGATCGACGACGTCGTGTCAGCCGATTTGGTATGTCATTTCTCGCAATCAGACACAAACGCCCGGCAGATCAGAGTTTGAACGCCGGAAGGATACAATGCCAATACCCGAGTGCCACAGAAGGGAGGCAATGCCACGAAGTCGTGCAACAGTGCGATTCATACGATTCATACGATTCTGCACAAGGATGCACCTCGCTGCGGTTGGGAAATCACCGCCGAAGAACGCTTGAGCATTCAACGTGTTCTTCGAGGAACACCGTGAAAATAATGATTCATGCTACCGGTGCCACGTTCCGAGATTGCAAGTAGGTCTTGCGGTGCTGGTTGATGTCGGTCTCAGCGCCCCGGTTCAGTGGTGTCCACTTGGGCTCGTCCTGGAACAAGCGCATGGCCTTGATATACTGTTTCGCGAGTCAATACACATTCTTCCTGATGGTCTTTCCCCAACTCACATTGTTCTCGTCGGTTGTAAATCGATGGTAAATGCCTGCGGGCAGAATGATCAAATCATCCTTCTCCAGCCGGATTCTCACCCAGTCATCGCCCTCTGATCGGACATCAAAATATCCCGCACCGTCGCGAATGTATCGAATCTCTTCATCTTCGTGTAGATGCTCATGGAAGAACATTTTCACCTTGTCCTCGTAGACGTTACCCATGGCTTGGGGAGACACGGTGATCTCATCACGATTCTTGTAGTGGCGGTCTTTAGCGATGGCATCGACAGCAGACAGTTCGGGGCAGTGGTGGTACAGCACGCCGAGCTTCGCAAGGTAGGCGGCATCGACTTCGCGGCCGGAGTCATGCGTCAGACGCTGGTCGCCCTGAGCAGAGATATGAGCGACGTGATCAATCTAGAGAGGGGAGATGGTTGAGTGTACCTCTTGATTGTCAAACCAGTATGCCTTCATTGTGATCGGTAGTGATGTTCGAGTAGTGGAGGTGAAGATGCAGCTGTGTGAGAGTCGATCAAAGGAAGCAGCAGCGGAGGTACCGACGAGCCTTAAAATATTCGCTAAGAAATTCTATACTTTCAACTGCGATGTGCACGTTGAGAGAAATTCTTCTGCCCTTGGTCAGATACAAATCGCCGCACACCACCGTCGTCCATGGCGCCGCTTGCGCAATCGGACATTGTCAATTCACCCCGCAATGGCTGAACAGTCGCTGGTCTCCACTGCATGACCAGGGCTACGTGCCTCTGTGGAATCAATCCATCACCCACGATTGTTGGGTGCCAATCGTCCACATTACTCATACACCGTACTCATACTCGTACGCCTCTCTAATCTGCAACAAGGCAACATCATCAAAGTGGAGGATATTTGAAGACGAACTCAGCTGGAATTCTTGCCCTCATCGCGGACCATCTTTGAAGCTCGACGATTGACGACTGAAGCACCACTCTTCCACTACATCGGAACACAGTAAGGTCAGCATTGAGACATTTAGACGCCATTCTGTCACGTCTAGGCCTCCTATCTGCTGTCTACCGAGTTCCTCATTGCCTTTATTCGGCCCATAGAGACCCACAATACCAGGCACACTTGAATCACGGTAGCCAACACCGAGCTGCTTGCCCCCCTAAGGCCGAATCTCGGTCCTCTGACTAAGAACGTATTGCAAATCCATCTGATATTTGACGTCGAGAGTAAGCACTTGGTACCCGAAAATCCCCACAGGCTTGACATTCGGCTCCTATTCTATGGAGGTCAAGGGGCAGTTTCAAGTCTAATCCGAACCTCTACCTGGCCACCCACGAGCTATTGGGGCCTGTGCTTGCATACTCCATTTGAACGAGTCGATAGAACCTCGAACTGCCGGATCTCAGGCCGCTCTCCTCTGCCCAATCTGTGCCATTGTCTGACCAGGAGCAATCAAGGGTGCCTGTGATGGGACAGACGGCGGGTTGGCGGAACTCTTGAGACTGAATCCCGCAAGCCACCCAATGTCCTGCCAGAAAGGGTGAGAAGGAATGGGCCACCACTCAGCCTCGTCTGGCAGCGATATCGACCAATCCATGTACTCGTATCGGAGGTTCGAAGTATCGACGAGCCTCCTATCAAGATGACAGAGACCAAGCATAGGGTTTCCTTTGACAGCCCTATGTCTCCAGCAGCACACCGTTCTCCCCATGCCCCAAACACCGATCTCAGCAAACTATCCTTACCATACACGACTGACCCGCCTTCTCCCTCGAACCCGGCTCAGCAGAAAGTATGGCTCATATTCGGCGCAACCGGGCACATGGGCCGGTCCGTGACGAAGGCCGCTCTCGCGCACGACGACATAGTCGCCGCGGTAGGCCAGTCTTACCAGGACGCGCCGTCGAGCATGGAAAAGTGGCACGAAGACAAGAATCGCTATCTAGGATTGTTATGCGACGTGCGCATCCGCTCCAGTGTCTCCTCCACGATTGAGAAGACGATGCAATGTTTCGGCCGCATCGACATCATCGCAAACTGTTCAGGTTACGGCGTGATTGGCGCCTGTGAAGACCAAGACGAGCACGAAACCCGAAATCAGTTCGAAACCAACTTCATGGGCACGTTGAACATTATTCAATTGTCGTTGCCCTACTTTCGAAAGCGGCAAAACGGAAGGTATCTCATTTTCAGCTCAACGAGCGGCGCTCTCGGTGTCCCGGGCCTGGGACCGTATTGCGCGTCCAAATACGCCGTCGAAGGGCTGATCGAAAGCATGCTCTATGAAGTTGCGCCGTTCAACATCAACCTCACTCTGGTAGAGCCCGGTCATCTGAGACGAGACGATAATATCAATTTACCGCCGCCGCCGCCGCCGCCGCAACCAGTGTCTCAAACCAACACATCCGCTCCCAACGCCGCAGGAGCAGCGATAAATGGAAAGGGTCAGGCTCGGCCCCAACAACAGAATCCCAAGCAGACGGACCTTCCCCTCTTTGGACATTTCAAAGTCGCGCGGCCGTCCTCGCCGTATTCGACCAAAGATTCTCCAGCGGCACACACGCAACGCACCCTGCAATGGATGGGCGCCAACCAGCCCACCTCGGTGGTCAAAGCCGCCGAACTGGTGTGGCAACTCGGTCACTGTCGCTACCCACCGGTCCGACTGCTCCTGGGCAGTTTCGCCGTCGAGAGCATCCGCGACCGGCTGAAGAGCATCATCGAGGAGATCGAGGACTGGAAGCACTTGAGCTTCCCGCCCCTGGAAGGGTTCGAGGAGAAGGAAGATGACGAGGATGGAGACGAGCATGACGACGGCGTCAAAGAGGATGAAGCCGTCGAGCAGGGAGAGGGAGAGGAAGAAGGCGAGGGGGAAGGCGAAGGCGAAGGCGCACCCGCACCCGCACCCGCAGCAGACGGAGAACCCACGCAAGGACAAAAGAAGGACGAAGACGCCGGTAGAGACGCGCAAATCAAGCTAGAGAGTCAAATGGACTTGGATGAGTGAATGAGGAGGCCAGGGTCCGTCCGGACCGCCCTATGGCGACGGACACGTACATACTGTATGCGCTGCTATGGCCGCCGCGGGATTCCACCAAACACACCAACACACGGAACACCACAACATCATCATAGACAACATTGGTTCGCTTGGCAAAAAGACCGTTCGTTGTCTCTTTGATGAGGAGGCACCTCCAGGCGCGACCCTGCAAGCCCATTGAGAAATCGCTAGGAGAGGGGCGGCGGATTTGCTTTTGACATGTCCTTGACATGCCTGGGTCATCGCTCCTCAGCACGCCTTTTGGCTCCCTTCTTCATATCTGTCTGACCATCGTCGCAAGGCTACACGCTGCATATTGCGCTCTTGGGGAATGGAAGCCGGACTCGCGAGAGAGCAGAAGAAGAGGAGGTCAATTTCGGTGTCGGGTGTCTGGATTCATCCTTGTGTGGAATAGTTCGATACTACAGCACTCCACACAAGTCCATATCAGCTCGACCGTCCATCACGTCGTCCAGCTTCGAGCTACGCTGTGCTCGTGTACTGAGCCAGTAATATCATAATGAGCCCCAGTTTCGTCACGGATTGTCCGACTGGCCCGTAGTAAGGGATCTTGGGATCATGGTTGTTGGCATATGGTCGCTTGCCATTTGCCTTGGCCTTCACGTCTCACATTCAGGCCTTCTCCGCTCAGTGACGCAATTTCCAACACTTTGAGTCGATCTTGATGATACTTCGGCCGAGGAGTCGTGGTTGCCTGCTTCTTGAGGATGTTGATATGGTAATTCCATGTAGTCGTACACACGAGCGGCGGCTCATCCAGGTAGCTAAACCAGCCGAGCAGTCACGCCCATCTCTCACAGCGTGATACGCATGTGATCACTTGCGCCAAACGCCCTATTGCAGTTTGGACACTTCCTTGCCCTCAAAGTCAATCTCTCCGCCACGCAATCCTCGCAAAATGTATGCCCACAAGTTTTGATGACGGTATTCTTCAAGTTTCGCTTGCAGACGTTGCAGTACGCGATCGTCCTCAACATTTCATACTGCTCTGATTGACCGGATTTGGATTTCCAGCTTTCCAGCTGCCGGCGCGTGTCTTTGAGCGACGACTTGAGTTCCTCCACTTCGAGTTCGGCGGCGCGGCAGGCGGAGGAGGTAGAGGATAACTTCGCATCTTTGGCGGTGGATTGGTTCTTGAGTTCCGTGACTTGGGTGTTGAGACGAGCGATTTCCAGGGTATGGGTGATGTTTTGCTGTTGAATAGCTCGGTGGTCATTTGTTTTGTGGCTTAAGGCATCTTTCATTTCAGATACTTGCTTTTCCAGCGTAGCCAGCAGCGCGCGAGTGGAAGCTTCTGCCTCTTTTAATGCTGAGACCGCTTCTGAAGACTTAGCGTTCTGTAGCCGTAATGTCCGGATTTCCCCGGCTTGGGTTTCCTTGCTCTTCATGGCGGCAAAGAATTTTTGATCAGCCTTGGTCTTGTCCATCGAGAGCTTCAGGACTTTGTCCTCCATGGCGGCAAACTCGGCGGTTTTCTGGCTTGCGATCTTCGAGGCCTTTTGAAATGCCGTGGACATAGATGCCAGTTCCCCGTTCAAAAGGTTGTACTTTCTGTCGAGTTCACGGTACCTGGCCCGCAGATCCTCAAGGCTCAATGCATCCAATTCCGCATTGTCCACAGCCATACCACCTGACTGAGCAGTCAGTCGTTCAGTCTCGGATTCCAGTGCTCGGATGCGATCTTCTTGTGCGGAGGCCAGTTCTGTGATTTTCTTGACAGCCTCATGATTCTGGTCGAGCGAGGACTGTTTCACAGCCTGGTCTGCTAGCAATTCGTCTCGATTGTGCCGTATCCTCGCAAGATTGGCCTCCGATGCCGCCAGCAGGGAATCCTTCTCGGCAATGGCCGCTCGCTGCTCGTTCTCCAGCTGAAGCTGATATGTTGTCCTCTCTGACCGCAGTTTTGTCGCTTCTTCCGTCAACTCGGTATTGGTGGCTTCAAGATTGTTGATTCTTTTGATGACGTCCTCATGCTGTGACTTCAACTGCTTGAACAGTTCCGTCTTCGCGTAGTCTTCATCAGTTAGAATTACGGACTTTGCTTGCAATTCCGTTAATTGCTTCGTCAAGGCCGCATTCTCTTCTTCCAGTTTCTCGAGTTGCTCTTTCTGCTTTTCCGAGACCGCCGCTGTCTTGTTCAACTGTTGTTCCAGGTCGGCCAGCTCTTCGGAGTTATCGGAGGTGCCGTTGACTTGACTGTCTTCCCGCTTGACGGGGCCACCATCTTCTGAGGGTTTCGTTGCGCCTAAAAGTGCCTGTTTTTCAAGCTTGGCAACAGTTACACTTTTCGCTCTGTCGATTTTGCGTTCGGCGGTCATATAACGGAGAGAAGCATTCTCTAGCTGATGCTCAAGCTCCTCCTTTTCCGACTGTAGTTTTTGTAGCTCGGCCACGTGACCTTTTTCGGCGGCGAGTAACTTTGCTATCTGCGATTGTAACTCTGCTACATCGGGAGACACGGGTTTTGTAGAGCCAAATAATCTTGATATGACTGCTTTGATTTGTCTCGAGCGGCTGCGGAGATGTTCTTCAAACTGGTCTTGGTCCGCGAAGAGTAACGAAGAGGGCAATGACTCGGCATCCATGTCCACATCGTCATCCTCTTTGGCGATGACTTTGACCTCGTCAATGACCTGTTGGAACCACGAGTCAATGACGCGGAGATGGTCGTCATGATATCGAGCCTTTTTGCGCATCTCTTTTAGTTGACCCTCCAGCGTGTTCTTTTCTCTCTTGTATTCTTGCATCTGCCGGTAAATGGCATCTTTTTGAAATCTCTATTCACCGTAGGCTCGTGTCAGCGTGATCCGGGCCAAACAGGGCGCAGGATTGGGATTGGGCTCACTTCGAGGTCATCTTTCCAAGGCATGTCATCATCCTTGTGAGCTTTGGATGCGCCGTTCGCCTGGGTGGCTTGTCGCTTGAGAGGAGGAGCAGAGTCGATGGAATCATAAGGCGAGGGTCTCTTGCGATCTTCCATCTTGACTAGGCTCTGTTGAGAGAGGGAAAGGGGGAGGGATTCGACGGCCGTCATCAGTCCTACTGTTCCGATGGGCAAGGCTTCCGCGGAGAAAATGTCCTTGAAGCGGCCCAGGGCGGAAGCAAGATCGAGGACGCCGGGGAAGCAGGCGACGTGAATGTGATGAGTCTTGTGACAATTTGCCTGTGCTGAGGCGAAGATGCGAAGAAGTCAACGTTGCAGGGCGAGAAGAGCAAAGGAACTTCAAGGTTTCGCCGAACACGGTTTAGCTTGAGAATGCAGGCTTGGCAGGCCGCCACCAACCAAAACTGAGTTGCAAGTGAGGATTCAGTGAACGTGAGGGGACGCGACTCAGAAGTGATGTCCACATGCTGGCAAGTTGGGTGGCTGGACATGATTTGAAAGCGACGTCCAAAGTTCTCTTCCTGTAAGAGACAGATCTCGCTTGTACTGCCATGCCGTCATTCAGCTCTGTGGTCCGCAAGCCGGGTCAGAAGATCCAGCCCAGGGCCCCTAAACGAAACATCCAGAGAAACGCGGCCCGCCATGCGGCGCCTCCATCTTTGACGCCAGAGAGCCAGACTGTGAGTCCCGCTGTTGAGGCCGTTGATAGAGAAGCACAGAGAAAAGTAAACGAACTGCAGCCAGCAGAGGCAGAGGCAGTCCACGATGGAAACGAAATCCCCTCAACCATTCCTTCCCTTTCACCTTCGATACCTGCGATTGTCCCGTCAGTAGAAACAGCAAGAGAGACCTATGAACAGGCAGTCAGCAACGCAGAACCAGTCACGGACCGCGTACCATCTTTATCCGTCGAAATCACCGTGCCCGGCAGTGCGAGCACTGGTATTCAGATCATCCACCCTGTCAACTTCACCCAGAGCGACGGAAGTGCTATACCAAATGTCATCCCTACCATCTCTAGTAATACCCCGTCCTCTACGGCGCAGAAGCGAAAAGCCACAAATGAACCAACCCCTGCTGCTTCGGAAGGCTCTTCTCCTGAGAGTGAAGCCACAGAAGAGCCTAGGAAGCGTCCAAAGACCACACCTGCTGCCCAGCATGTGGAAGAGCCAGAATCTCAAGCGCCCTCTGCATCTGATACCGTTCCTTTAATGCTGAGACACAGTCCTGGATACCGGCGGAGCGAGTCTCGTACTTCGGATGCACTCATCCAAGATGCCACTACAGGTGCTGCTCACGTCTCTGAGCTAGCGCAGCACATCGAGAACAGCGCAAGATCACAACGGTCTCGCTCAGAGGCCCGCTCTGTCTCACAAACCGCGGAGCCTGAGGAGAGCATATCCGCGACAACTACCCAATCCAAGCCCAGGCGAACCAAAAAGAAGAAAAAGTCAAAGTCAGAAAAGATCCAAGAGCTCGCCCAACAAGTCGTCGATCAGGCCGTTAATGGTGGCCAAGACAAAGATAATAAACGGAGTCGTCGCCGATCACGACTCACCACGCCTGAGAATGCTGAAGAGCTTGAAATTGACCCTCAGGAGGTCTCGATGTCTGAGCTTGTAAAGGACATCAAAGTCGGCCGCAAATCCGAAACAGAGAAGCGAATGCAAGAAAACTGGGTGGAAATCAAGGAGCGGCGGAAGAAAGATGTGGAAAAGCGCCGAGAAGCCGCCCGCGGGAAGAAGAACACCGCCAATGGAGAAGACCGGGAGCCTGAGGAGGCAGCTGTACCCAAGCAAATCATCGTGAATGGGGTAATCGTGGTCGCAAATGAATCGCGGGAGGTTGCTTTCGGCAGCGGCCTCGAGCAAGCTGCGAGAGAACAAGCGGATGTCGCCATCGAAGACGACAGGATCTACAAGTACGTGAACCAAGCCACATTAGGCAAGAACGCAGGTCGCGATAAACGGAGCAAATGGAACGAAGACACGACCAACCTCTTCTACCAAGGTCTCCGGATGTTCGGCACCGATTTCAGCATGATTGCCAACCTCTTCCCGGA